TGCAACAAGAGCTTCCCCAAAACCCCTCCAGACTCTGTCTGGGTAACTCAGTGCTTACAGGCCAGTTCTCATCACATCGTCCCTGCCAAACAAAACTGAGTAACAGAAACATTACAGCCCCCAGGATTAATACAACACACAATTATTAACAAGGTTCAATCAGTCCTCGGGGAGCCTGCACTGTTGCTTGGACCTGTGCGGCTCCCCTAGAACAGCAGCACTCCTGCTTTCTGGAGGCAGTAAATCCACTTCTTCTTAACTTGTTCTTGGTGCCTGTCTGAGACGCTCCTGGGCAAAACGGCAGACTCCATGCCACTTATCTCCCTCCCTTCTGGGGTTATTTCTCTGTAGCTCATGTCCATCTGGGGTGACAGACGGCAACCTCTTGTGACACCACTTCCATTTTCAACCACTGTTTCCCATCAGAGATGCACTGTGTCATGTTCATGAAGTGACGGCAGCTCCCAGGACCCCAAATCACACTGAGTTTTTGTTTTCCTTTATCTGTCCCTTTACCGTCTGCAAGTCCCCAGTGGCTCTGATACCAGTTTCCAACAGTGCAGGCATTCTTGTTTTCCGTTTTCTTTTGAACAAAGGGTCAGCAACAGGGGCAGAGACCCGCGTTGCATGCTTTTCTTCCTTAGTTGTCTTTTCTTGTTTTGGATTCTCTGTCATGTCCACCTCCACCTCCAGTAAGCTTCACTCTGAACTGGAGGATTTCCTTTTCTTGGCAAATGCTTATTGCTTTGTCAAGGATTAACTTGACTCTCCCTGTCTCTGAAGTTTGTGTTTCAAATCTCAATCATACTCTGGTCTCTTCTCAGGAACTCAGACCCCCAAAATTTCAAGATTGGCTCTTCAGTCTTAGATCAGTCACAAACTCTTCTTTGGTTTCGTCTTCTTTTTGTACTCTGTTTAAAAACATCTCTCTTAGAGGTTTCATTTTTATGTGGAGTGCGGTACTCCTCAAATGTCTGTACTATAGTTTCATGTTTCAGAGTAGCAGCTGTGTTATTCTGTGTCTGCAAAAAGAAAAGGAGTACTTGTGGCACCTGGAGACTAACGTTAGTCTCTAAGGTGCCACGAGTACGCCTTTTCTTTTTACAGTTTCATGGTTGGCCTCCTCAGCCTGAGTTAACTGAAATCTATTATACACTTTGAGTGCATCGGAACCAGCTATTGCAAGCACCGTATGCACTGAGCAATCACCCCTACACAGTACCAGGAGCAAAATGAACTAAGAAAATGCCCTGAGTGGAAGAATGAAGCAGTTCAAAGCCCCAGCAGAGCTGAAGCTCTCTGGAAATGTAAAAGACAATTCGAGAAGGTTTAAACAGCACTGCACTCTGTATGTGCAGAGGTAAGTGCCACATGTCTTCCTTTTTGGTGGGCTAAGAGTTATAAGGCGCATGATACTACCACTATCCTCCTCCTCTTCTAGCCAGTTAGTGCCCACTTCTCAACATGAGCTGAGTGTTGACCAGTAGCACTGACTGGGCAGCAGCTTTCACAGTCATCACTCTTGAAGTACCCAGATGGAAACAAAAAGTCCAAACATTGGAGACAAGCTTCTGGCGCACGAGAGGTAGGGCTGCAGGACAAGAAAAAAGCATCAGGGCAAAGTGCAAGATAACGCTCGGGGGAAACAGAATCTGAACACACTTACGCTACATCAGAGGAAAAAGACTGAGAGAAGCCCAGTGGTCACATAGCTGGGAAATTAGTTGGAAGTTTACAAATGACATGGTTTCCAAAAAAAAAAAAAAAGCCAATGCTGTTTTGGGTTGCAAATGCAAAGGCAATTCACTAATCAGGGCAGTATTAGTCTTTTTCTATATGGCTCTGAAGTGACCACAACTGGAGTACTATATTCAGTTCTGATCAGACTTACCAGCCTAAATACAGACAAATGGAAAAAATTTAAAGTGTAACAAAAAATCTCAGGGGACTGATTTAAGATGCAAGACAGAAAGAGCTAAGGATGTATAAGCTTGGCTAAAAGAAGACTAATGGAGGGACATGGTAATGTGCTATTGGACTATTGGAACTATTGGAAGGCTGAAATCACTTAGGACGGAGAAGAATTATGTAGAGTGGAACACAGTGCTGTCACGAGGAGTAATGCAGTGCAAGTAAAAAAAAAATTTTAGGATGAATATCAGGAAAGACCTCCTGACAGTGAGATGTAGCCTGTGGAACAGTTTGCCAATGGAGGTCATAGAAGCCGTAGGACTTTTAAAACTGGCTAAAACACTAAAAGATACTGCATGGGAACACGGGAAAATAGACTGAATTATCTAATAGGTTTTTCTAGTCTCAAACTTCTATGATTCCAGAATATATTCAAAAGAAATATAAAATTAATGTCCCTCTCTGCCCCCTTCAAATTGCTATCACTTCTTCCATCCAGTGCCCTACTGAACCCACTATGAACGTGTGCTACTGAAATCATCTCTTGCTTTTACTGATGAGATTTCTCTAAATAGACTCTCTTCTCCTGTTGCAAACGCAAAAAATACATTTTCAAAATGGAAGACTAACTAGTGCAGGAGGTGGTTATTATAGCTAAAGACAACACTACGATACTTTTCACTGTGGGACTGAAATACCCACAACACGCATCTGGTCCAAATGCAATAACCACATTTGTATGTTCGCGATAACTGGTGAACTGTGCAGACTATTCTTCGCAATTTAGTTTGCATGTCGGCACTTTCTTGTTGTTTCCATGCAGGCTTAAATACAAGTTGGTAATAGCTTCATAGTGGTATGTGAAGAGCCTATTCCTATGGTCATGATTTCCTGATATGAGGCAAGAAATTCCATATAATATTGCTCAAGAGAAATGAGATTTTCTTATCATTAATTTGGACTTCTGACTCTTTCTTCTCACTGAAGTATAAAATCACTTGGGTACGAAGAACCAGTGGTAGGTCATCTACTCCACCTCCCACTGCAATAGGAAGGGTGATTCAACTGGCCATGACGACGACTCATTGACCCTTGAATGTCTTCTGGGGGTGAAGATTCCTCAGTCTTTTTAGCAGCTTGTGTCATTACTAAACGGTCGTTACATTTGTAGTCATTTGTAATATTTAGGCTAATATTACCAACTTCCCACAAGGACTGCTTCTTTTTCAGCTCTAGATTGACTGAGTGTTCCCTTTTTTAATAACATTCTTTTACGTATTCGTAGTTTTGTATGACCTCTCAACTGTCTTGTTTTTGGCCAAAATATGGCCAGTGCTCGGTATCCTTTTCTTGGAGTCTTGTTTTCAAACACTGAAATTTTTGCTGCTGCCTCCTGAACTTTCTCTAATGGATTTGTTTTTAGACTGTGCAGTGTGGTGCAGAATTCATAACTCCATCTAGAACCTAAATAGGCCTGAGCAGAGACACCAAATCATCAGCAAGGGTTTCTATCTGCAGTTCAATGTGAGTGCAAGAAGGCCATCTGCCTAAAGCAGGGAGCAAAACCCTGGTGCCTGTATTCTAACTAAGCAAAAATTGCATTATAATACGTGTTATCGGGATAGCCAAAGAGAGAAAACCAGGCCTCCCCAATCCCATGAACATCATTAAGTTAACAGAACTGGCTGGGTATAGCAAGGGAGTGTGGCTAGGCTTTTGCTAGATATCTCTGCTGACTGCATCTCTTTGTGGTTCAGCAAGGAATGAACATGGTATAAAACAAACAGTGTTATCTGGGAGATCAGGGACTTCACTGCATTAGAACCTATCAAACTAAATGATCACTGGTATTCTTCACACATCTGTGTTCATACTCACAATATACATCTTTCAAAATCTCCTGTCTTAACATGCTGTCACAGGCTACAAAGACACAAAGGAATGTTAATGGTGACATCTATTTCTATAGGCCTAGCACTCAATTCTGGTATACCAGCAAAATTGAATTGAGAGAGTCCTATAAGCTATTACTTCTATGTCCACAGTCAGTGGGACAGTCCAGCAAAACACACCAGAAAAAAATAGCACAGCATGTGAGGGCTGGTTACCAGTATAATAAAACCATTAAACACAAAAGGCGGGATTTTCAAAAGTGCTCATCATTGGCCTAGCTTTGGTCTCATTGAAATCAATGTGAGTTTTACCACTGACTTTGGAGAAAAACATTTTAAAACAAAAAAGGTGAGCTGTAGACATCTCCTTAGATTTAGCAGAGCTTAATCAACTCCTGCCCACTTTGTGACATATCAAGGGGACAGGGAGAACTGTGTATGTCCATGCCTGAGGAGAGGACTCTTTACATATGGGCTGCTGACACTGCTTGCATGAAGGATAAAATCAACAAGGGGCTGGTTCCTTTCTTGGTAACCTTTCCAACTATGAAGATTCAGCTTTCATAAAACAAACTGAAGTGTTGCTGTTCCGTTAATCCTGCTTTGCAGAAAAGCATAAACTCACCGCTCAATGAAAAGTATGCCCCAATTTTAAACAAAGGAAATTAAATACACCAAAGAATGCTCATGTAACATGAAAGTAAAAAATGCATCCAAAAATGCTACTGCAACATGAAAGTTAAGACACAAAATATCAGGAGGTACAAAAAAGAAAAGCTTCTCAAAGAAGCATGGACTCTCACACGTTGCACAAATACATTATCATCAAATTACCAGTTAGGATTTTAAAGCCTGATATACAGCCAAGGCATAGCATCCACAAATAACTGCCTGTAGAAGCAGAATTTGAACATCTAAATATCCGCAACTGTAATTGCAAACAGTTAGATGGCCAAGTGTTACCATTTGCTGCAATTATTTATAAGTGCAATTTTGTGCCTGCAAATTTAGAGGCCATTGCTGAAAATCAAAACTTTATATGAAATATGTGCAATGAAGGTGAATATATTGCTATGAGAATCTGATTTTTTTCCACCTTTTGAATATTGTGTTTTAAATTTTTAACCTTCACGTGATGTTAACATAACATTTTGTATAGAATATTTATTAATTCTTAAAAAGTACTTAATACACAGATTTCTGTAAAAAATGTTTATTGTCCATATAAAAGTGCCAAAATATCCACCAACACTGTAATCTAGTTCAACAGCCAGCTTAATCTAGTAATCAAAATTGCAAGCATCTTTATTCACATTTTTCAAATCAAATTCCTGTCACATGTTTCCACAGTAACCCGAGTCCCTAGAAATTGGAAAATTTGCATTCCGGTTGGCTGTTGTAGTCCATATGTCCAAGTTCATATAGGCACGGAATGGGTTAAACCTTGGATAATACTCCTGCTTACACATAACAGCCTGGTTCTCAACATGAGCTGGGTGTTGACCGGTGGCACTGACTGGGCAGCAGCTTTCATAGACATCACTCTGTGGTGCCCAGATGGAACCAAAAAGTCCAGACATTGGAGACAAGCTTCTGGCACTTGAGAGGTAGGGCTGCAGGACAAGAAAAAAGCATCAGGGCAAAGTGCAAGCTAATATGTTGGGGAAAACAAAAACAGAATCTGAAAACACACACACTACATGGGAGGAAGAAGCCTGGGGAGCAGAATTGCTGAGAGAAACCTAGGGATCATATAGCCAGGAAATTATAGACAGGAGTTTACAAATGACATGGTTTCAAGAAAAAGGCCAATGCAGTTTTGGGTTGCATATGCAAAGGCATTTCATAAAGCAGGGCAGTATTAGCCTTCTTATATATGGTTCTGATGTGACCACAACTGGAGTACTATATTCAGTTCTGATCAGGCTTCCCCTCAAAAATATAGAGAAATGGAGAAAATTTAAAGAGTAACACAGAATATCATGGGGATGAAGGACTGATTTAAGAGGCAAGACAAAAATAGCTAAAGCTGTATAAGCTTGGCTAAGAGATGACTAATGGAGGGATGTGGTAACGTGCTACAGCACTACTGGAAGAACAGAGAGGAATTATTTAGAATGGAACACACTGATGTGAGAGTAATGGGGTCCAAGTAAAGAGAAATTTTAGAATGAATATCAGGACAAACTTCTTGTAAGTGAGATGTATTAGCCTGTGGAACAGTCTGCCAGTGGAAGTGATAGAAGCCTCAGGACTTTTAAAACCAGCTAAAACACTAAGAAATGTATTACAGGGAAAATCCTGTTCTTCAGGAAAATAGACTGAATTATCTAATAGGTTTTTCTAGTCTCAAACTTCTATGATTTCAGATTACATTCAAATAAAATATAGAATTAATGTCCCTCTGTGACCCTGCAAATTTCTATCACTTCTTCCATCCTGTGCCCTATTGAATCCACTATGAATATGTGCTGTTGAAATCATCTCTTGCTTTTACTGATGAGATTTGTCTATTAAACTCTCTTTTCCTATTGTAAACACAAAAAATACATTTTAAAAGTGGAAGATTTTCATCCCAGTGTAGGAGAAGGTGATTATATCTAAAGACAACACTACAATACATTGCACTGTGGGACTGAAATAAACATGGCCCATCTCTTCCTGTTCATCTGCAGGTGACAGGAATACTCACTGAAGAGTTGACGTAACTGGCTTGTTCCCAGGTAGGCGTCATGTTGGGTGGAGCGCTCCAGGTAGACTGACAATTGTGATCAATGAAGGCGGTATTTTGCCCCTCTGCAGTACATGTGAAGCCATTGGGGTAATTCATATTTTCTGCAGTTGAGGAGAGATAGAGAACAAAATTAAGCTTTTGCATTATAAATTCTATTAAACTTTCTGCGGGGGGCAGGGGGGCTGAACTGTCCCAGCATGAGAGACATTAGAACTGCTAGCCGGCTTTCACCAATCCAAGGTGATTTCCTGGCAATACAGCAATCACCCCTTTGTAACATTTACATATTTCCGTGCATCTTTCAAACCTACAATGTAAACAGGATTATCGTTTCTTATTAGCTACTACTGGGGCCATTAGCCAATTGCTAGCAAGGGGATGGGTAAAGGCTACATAAAATCTTTTATCTCTGGATTGCTGGAGATTGAAATCCTTCATTAGCCACAAAACAGGTAGAGCGTGGACAACATTAAGACAAAGCTTCCCCATCCTTCCCTGCCCACATGTCTCAGCCCTAAACTTCCAAGGGACTACTGGGATTCAAAATCCTGTGCTCTCATAGGTTCATCTTTAAATATAGCCTACCTAGTAGTACAGTATTCCAGGTAACTGTGAACGTGCTCAACGTGCAAAATAAATCACATCCTGGGGAAAAAAATGGGCCACAAGAGACATTATGTTGCACACACTAGTATACTGAGCTCTGTCACAGAGTGCACAATCTGTTGGGATTTCTACTTTGAGAAACCTGGTCTTTGCATAGCACTTTTAAGTTGCCTTGTTATTTCCCACGTGCACACACAACCCAATACTGTATAGTACTTGGTGTCAAAAATTTAAATTTGAGTAAACAACAACTTCTCAAAAGTTTACAAACAAATACTTTTCAGGCTTTCTATTCATAGATTTGTTTCAGCTCCCTTACTCTCCACCAATGAGTACCGACACAGTTGAGGTCTGAGATTTATGAGTGGGGCGCAGAGAAGGAATGATAAAAAGAGCACTCTGGGCCTGATTAACTCTGCTGGAGTTAATGTAGTCCCACTCATAGAAAACTGATGTAAGTGAAATCAAAATCAGGCCTTTAGGAAGCTCGGCAAACCAGGTTTTGGGTCAGTGGGTCAAAAACCTCATTCGGGTTGTTCCAAGTCAGGAATTTAACTAAGGGTGTCTGAAAAACCTCATTCTAGAGAGGAGTGAGGACCATGTGGTTAGGACACTAGAACAGGAATCAGGAGACCTGGATTGTTTCCCTAGATCTGCCACAGACTAAATTATTTAACCCCTCTGGGCTTTAGTTCTCTAACTGGAAAACAGACATAACTGCACTTTCCTTCTCCCATCATTCCTCTGTCTTGTCCAATTAGATCATAAGTTCTTTGGGGTAGGGACCAACTCTTGTGTGTCTTCAGCACCTCTCACAATGGGCACCTCATATTACCTGGGGTCTCTAAGCACTACTGTAAATACACATACATGATAATAACTAATTTCTCCTCATTTATTTTACCCTAATTAAAAGAATTAGCAAGCTCAGCTCTCTAACAGTCTAGTGCTAGTGGTTTTAAAAGAAAAAATGATATTAATTACCTTGCTTTCCAAAGAAAGAGAGAAAAGAACATGCTTAGTGATATTCTGGAAGTTTAGCAGCACTCTTACCTTCTGGAAAAGCACTGTATTCATTCATCTCTAATGGGCAATACATGTTGGGAAACTGGCTATCGCAAGTTGCATTCCAATCAATGAAGCTATTACAACAAAATCAAACAACAAAAATCAAAATACTGTACAGGGTTTATGAAAATAGTTTAAAAACACTAAGATACTGTAAAACTATTAGATGACAATTGCCTGAAATAAGTGATCGCACTTCACACATGCTGATTACATAATAGTACAGAACAGTTATTAACAGCAATGGTGTGTGTTAAAATTAGGCTAATTCTTATACTGAGCAGGGTGTTGTGGAACAATTTTTACAATGGGGTGTGCTGAAAGCCATTGAATCAAACTGTAAACCCTGTATATGATGGGAACCACTTCAAGCCATGGGGTGCAGCACCCCATGCCCCCCTAGTTCCAGCATTTATGATACTGAGCATTTTTTAAAATCTTTTCCCCATAAGGTGGAAGAACAGACTAGTGGCTAAAGTACAGGACTGATAAGAAGGTTATCTGAGTTCTGTTTCTGGATCTGCCACAAACTTCCTGTATTACTTAAGCAAATAAAAACCTTCTGGGATTCAGTTTCCCCATCTGTAAAAAAAGAATTACAGTATGTTCCTACCACATAAGCGTCTAAGGAGGCTTTATTAATTAAAGTTTACATTAAAAAAAACCCCTCAGATTGCTTTAAGTGCTATGGAAATGTGAAATAGCATTTGATTGTGTTTAATTAATACAAATTTTTCCTAAATCCTAACCCTGGTGTTATAATCAAGGTTATCTAAATGTTTCTATTCATAACTGCTAAAAATAGGGGTTTCTGCCTTAATCCCTTCAAATCACATTAGGCTCCTGGCAAACAAGTTGTCCTCTCGTATTTACTTGGATCTGTTATTGTATTAGTTTTCAAACTAAAATGATTTCAAATCTTTCAAAAAGGTTTTCTAAGAGTAGTTCTTAAAGATACATCAGAAATTAAACAAGCACTACTGAGGAGTGAATCTGAAGAGCCCCAAGGACTCAGTCTGGATAGGCTAGAAGGGTAAAACAACTTTACTACTCTGAGGTTGTGTTAACCCTGTTATAACATCCAGGCAATAAGAAACCAACATGAGTTATTACAATTTAAAAGCAAATAATTGTACATAATTTTCATGTATAACTTTATGTCAAAATAATACTAAAATTATGACATGAGCCTTTCAAAGCAACGCAGTTTAGTATTAGAACTGCTACATACTACCATTAACTTGCTCTGCCTAAAAATTACAGCCTCAGAATACTAGTTACTGTTGCTTCCCATTAGGGCTGCAGTTTTCGGACACACCAGGTTTAAAATCAGATTACTTGGCTGCTTTAATTCAAAATGTCATTGCTTGTGGACATCTGAGTCATCACTCTGATGTCATATTTGCCCATAGCTTGTGAAGGGAAGAGCCAGTGGTATTTTGCAGTTTGAAGAGGACACAGTAAGATGCAGTGTGTTTGTCCCTAGTCTTCAGGGCCACTGCACCATGCATTCTAAACTATTTTTTCCGGCAATTTACAGGATGGAGATACAGTTGTGGGGGGGAAATGATCTTTCCTGCCTGAGGTTCACTGCTGTAGGAAAATCAGTGCCTCAAGACTCGGGAAAGCCTGAGGAAGTCAACCCAGCCCGTATTTTTATACTATTTTCAACCTGTGAATATTTGATTTTATCTTTCATGTACCCTTTTATTTATTTATTATGCATTTAACATTTTTACCCAGGACTGGATTCATGACTATAACAATAGGAAAGCAGACATAAAGATGAGGCACCCATCTCCATCAGAGGGAAAAGAGAGAAATCAAAAAGCTTTCCAAGAATGATTTGCTTAAATTTGTGAGAAATATGAAGTTTTGAAATACCTACATACGAGTGAGAAAGCTGGTCAATTTGTACTGACAATATTAATACCATGTGCTGAAAGCTAACAAACAGCTTTAAACAGTATGTCTACAGTAAGATTTTTGCTTACTAGATCTTAACATGCAACCATAGCATAGAAACTGTTTAAATGGCACATGCTTAAACATTGCAAGATAAGCTCAGATACATTCATGCTGTTAAGGCCGTACGCTGAACAATGCAATACCAAAAAGTTTAAGCAAAAAATAACTTGCCTATTTTGAACAGAAGGGGTTTCCTGGATCATGCACGGTACGTTATTCTCAAGGTTATAGTTTAAGCTATTTGTCAAACAGACTGGTTGAGCAGGCCACAAGTCTCCTGTCGGATAAAGACCTAGAACGGCAAAGAGATCTTGATTGCAGTGTATGAAATGCAAAAGTACAGAAATGAGGGATCCACCAAATCCTAGTACTATGGTGAATCTGATTCTCAGATCCCCAGTAAAAAGGTTGTATGTAAGAGAGAGAATCCAGCCAGAGATCTCGCTTCATAGTTTTCACAAAGGACAGTACCTGTCCCTCCCTCCTATATTACTACTTGAACCCAAAAAGAAGGGCTGTCAGTATAAAAAGAAACCTCACTAAAAGACTCCAAGACAGACCAACTGTCAGGGCCAGATCCTACAGCTGATATAAACTGACTCAATGGAGCTAGGCTAATTTATACCAGCTGAGGATCTGTCCCTAAGAGTGTATGTCACTGGATGAAAATTCCTAGGGAAGAACTTATTGACAAATGTTTATGTTTGATGGAACTTGCTGTGCAGATGATAACAAAATCAGACACTTTTCTATTGGTTAAAAAAAAAATGATTGAAGCGGATTCTGAAATTCAACACAGCAAAAAGGAAAGATTCCTACAGAAAGTACATGTGATGTTGGAATGACATCAGTGATGAGAACTGGTACTTGTACCTTTCATCATGGGAGGATGGACTAAATGAAAATGAGTCCCTTCCCAAGACTGTTTTCACACTAAATTTGAATACTGACTACATGTTTGTGTATTAAAACTTCTCCTCAGGAAGAGACTCTAGTTTTGAACAGAAGAGCTCACGCTGCTAGAGCCATTAAAAACTGGAACAAACTATAGGTGCACATACTTCTTAAAGGAAAAAAGAGATTAAAAAATGAGAGAGAGCAAGCTTCAGATTTCCTCTCTGATTCACAATTATATTCTACGAGCTCTAATTTATCCTGTAATCTTTTACTTCACAATTTGTTAATCCCACCAAACAGATGAACATTATTTCCATTTGAAATGCAGACAAACGAAAACAACCACATATTTAAGAGCCCAAATCATCACATCATTCATTTTGGAGGGAGTAAGGTCAAAAAGGGCTGAGGACTTTTTCTCAGTCATGACTTAGGAAATTAGGAGAGAAATATCTGATGGCATTAACTGTGTCTCAACTCTATTTAAGACAAGAAGTCAGTTCTTTTGACCTCTCAATCATGCTGGTAACTGTTTAAATGTTACTCTGCAGTCAGGGTGCTTAGTCTGTGCAAAGCATGACAACTGTCAGGAAAGAATACAAAAAGTGTGAAATGACACATGAATCCTGCCTTTTTTCAGTGAGAATGCCATAAACAAAGTCTAGGTTATAACAAAGAGTAGTGATAGTAAAGGAAGTCTTCTCTGAGTCCTTTTAAGTTGTCAGGAAGTTTAAAAAAAAAAAAAGTGAAGTCCTCAGCAACGCAGCTCAAACACAGCAGTCTGACAGTAAAGCCCTTGTGGGTTTATACATAAATGTAGTTAAGAAACATAATGCGTGGTACTTATGTGTACTACTGCATAAACAATAGCACCAAATCTGCTGTTGAAAAAGTAACTAACCTGTATTTTTGTCAGGATCTGCAGTTATGTCAGCGAAGTTGGGACATACGGTTTCTGGATACTGGGGGACAGTATTTATGTCTCTGCTGAATGAAGACAAAGGACTTTTTAAAATTTTGGATTATCAACATTGAAAAATGCCCTAGTGATTCTTCTCCTGGAAAAGAAAATTCAAGGAGTTTTATAGGTTTTTTTCATGTTGAAAATGTTTTGATGGATGTCTCTAGAGTGGAAGATACTAAACGGAGTGATGGAACACTAAATAATAGCTGATACTGTAGGGAGCATGGAAATGGCATCCCTTTGCTCCACAAATTAAGTTTTTCCTTTGCCTATTCTCCTTACTCTGAGCTATCGCATACCTCACAATCTTATTTTAGTGCTTCTTACATGTGGAAAACAAGTAAAATACTAATTATCTTAACTCTTTATTATCCATATTTCAGATGATCTGAAACTCATATAGGAGCCAAATTTCATTTATAAACATTCTGATTACCTGAAGGTTTCAGATGTCCCCCAAGCCATTCAGATAATCAGAGTTTACTTTAAGATAATATATATAACATATTCCATATTTTAATGTGTGTGTATTCACATATTCCATATATATCTAATTTAACTGGAACACAGACTGTATTGAGACTAAATGAGAGCACAGTTCATAGGTTCAGACTGAGATTAAGTTTGTTTGGGATGAGCTTTAGCTATTAGTGATTGCTAAACATAAGAGGTCCTCCCACATCTTTAAAACCAATAGGTCAGTTTTCCATATACTGTACTACAGAAATTTACTTCTCAGAATAATGTCACCTGCACAAGAGGAAGAAAAAGCTCTCCTCACTGAGAGCCCAACTCTTCTTTTTGGGCGCGACCTCTCTCCCAGTCTGTGACATTTTGGCCTCTATCACTCTCCCTGCAGATATCAGAGATGGTTCCCAATTTGTTGTTGGAGATACAGGCTTTTGGCCATGGCCCTTATAGCCCTACACCAGATGAGTATTTCCAAAGCTGCACTGAAATACTCCGTTATCAGTAACCCCGGGGAAAAGATGTAATGGACTCTATATAGTAGCTGAATCCGACTTGTCTCAAACTGGGAGTGAGATGAAGATCCAGATCACGAAAACTTTAGATGCGGCACATATTATAGTAAGGGGGAGGATATGTCAGAGAAAGAAAAGGAACAATTTTCGAGTTGTCTCAGGACAGCATGATTCTCATAAAAAGAACCCCATCAACTTAAAAGTGACACATTTGTCTGATCTTTTGTTACCTAAAAATTAGCACTGAAAACTACTAGAATGGGAAGATAATACAGAAAAAATAACTTCTTTATTTTTCTTATGCATCCCATATTTCTCCTGCATAACAAGCAAGGTTTCCCTATCATTTGGGGAGGTTTTTTCATAAAGCTACAGGGAAGAGAGAAACATTTTCAACACTAGGAAAACATGACTGTAGTACCACAAAAATTAGCAGAGAGAATCACAAGCAGGTGTAGGACCTGAAACTGTTTTTATTTTAATTCATTTTAAAAAAACTAAAAATATTTCAAGTTGATGGAGTTCCTTTAATATTTTACTGGGGTAGACTTAACAAAAATTTACCTGGTATTGCAGATGTTATGAGACAGATTTAAAGTGATGGGAGTTTCAGTTGGAAAATCATTTTGTGAAATATTCTCCCCTAAATAAAACAATGATTGTGAATCAAAAAAGATTTTGAAAACAGGAACATACACAATACACTTACCAATGGTGTGTATGAACTTACTTCTCAGTGTGGAATGTCAGTACCAGCACTTACCATTTCAGAATGTATTTATTAAATATGCTTATTCATAAACCCGTCTGAAATCTATACAGGTGTCATGTATTATATGGATTCTCAACCTGGAGACCATGACCCCTTCTTTTTTGGCTAGCTAAGAGGAGGGCCCAGACATTTTTTTTTCTTTTGCAATATGGGCCCAGGATTTGGAAAAAGATTAAGAACCACTATTCTACCAGAAGAGTAAGTTCTTCTGTGGTGTCAGACTTTATGAAAAGAAAATACATTTATTTATGCATTGTTTTTTGTGCAGTGTTCACCTTAACAATTGTTACTATCTAACATTTATAATGTTAATTATTCATTCCTACTTACTATCAAAATGACTCTATTTGAAAAGAGTTACACTACATTATGAATACATATGGTTGCCAACTTTCTAATTACACAAAACTGAACACCTTTGCCCTGCCCTGCCCCTGCTCACTCCATTCCCCCCACCCTCACTCACTGGCTGGTTCAGGGAGTTGGGGTGCAGGAGAAGTGTGGGCTCCAGGCTGGGGCCAGAAATGAGGGGTTCAGGGTGTGGGAAGGGGCTCCAGGCTGGGGCAGAGGGTTGGGTGTGAGGGCTCCAGCTGGGGGTCCTGGCTCTGGTGTGGGGATGAGGGGTTTTGGGCACAGGAGGGGACTATGGGCTGGTGCAGGGGGTTGGAGTGCAGGAGAGGGTGTGGGCTCCAGGATCGAGTTTGGGTGTGTAAGGGGGCTCACAGCTGGGGCTGACCAGACCTGCCAGGGTCCCTTTTCGACCAGGTGTTCCGGTAAAAAACCAGACGCTTGGCACCCTATGAATACACAGAAAATTATTCCAGAGATAATTCATCTCATTAGGTCAGAGGCACAGCTAATCTTTCCTGACTCTGAAGCCAGGTCTGTTGATATGTTTTTACTCAGACACTAAATTATATTCATATTATTCAAAATAGCATTTAGAGACATGAAATCAATTTTTCCATCTCACTAGAGAACATTCAATATAAACTATTTTTAAATTCTGTTCATTATTAATGCTGCAGCAAGCTACCTGTTACTAATATTATTGGTCTAAGGATTTTCACTGTTCTTTTTAATATGGCACAGCAATGAAGTATAATTGTGCCTTCTGGTGTTTGTGACGTGCTTTGGGCTTATTGCCCTATACAAGCACATGATTCTGGGGTATTTTCTGTAAGTTTTTGAGCTGTACATCTGTGCACTTTCTTAATTACCCACAAACAAAGATATCTTTTCACTATTTTGCCACTTACAGATGTAGGTCATGTATATTACAACACATAACATATCCATTGTTCCACATGTAACAATAATCTAAAGGTAAGGACTAAATTAAAATGTGGGCAGAGTTAGTAGCTTTCAGTTCTGCAGTCTTCCCAAAAGTGACTAATTGTACAGCTTCCTTAATTTCTGATGTGGTACTTTTTCAGTTCACTTCCTCATCCACATTTTCTCTTTCCCCTTTTGCTTTTAGTGTTGATGGCTATTTTCTCTACTTTCTCAGGTGCTTTTACTCTCATATGTTTTAGTTCACATTTGGATTTGTATTACTCCTGCCTAAACTAAGGTCTATGAAGCACTTGCAGGTAATCTGTGTAGAAGGGGCTGGTCACATGCTGTATACTCTTCTCCCAGTATCAAGTTGCTTATACAAGTGCCTGATCCCTTCAAAATGAAGAAGAGCTGAGAGATCTGTAGAAGAAGCTAGAAACAAAAAGGGGGGGGGGGATGGGCAGACAAGCTGCCTCTACTAGGGGCTGCTGCTAAAGAAAAGGAGGGGAAAGGAGGCCATACCCACACCAAAAGGCCACTTTGTTCCCTCTCCAGTTTACATTCTCACTCTTTGACTCCTACTTCAGTTTTCATTTAAGAAGGGTTTCTCTCCTACATTCCCCCTCCCTCTTAGCAGAGCTGTCCTCAGGAATCAGAGCCACCAGTGAGATGGTTTCAGAGTAACAGCCGTGTCAGTCTGTATTCGCAAAAAGAAAAGGAGTACTTGTGGCACCTTAGAGACTAACCAATTTATTTGAGCATGAGCTTTCGTGAGCTACAGCTCACTTCATCAGATGCATACCGTGGAGACTGCAGCAGACTTTATATATACACAGAGAATATGAAACAATACCTCCTCCCACCCCACTGTCCTGCTGGTAATAGCTTATCTAAAGTGATCATCAGGTGGGCCATTTCCAGCACAAATCCAGGTTTTCTCACCCTCCACCCCCTCACACAAATTCACTCTCCTGCTGATGCTAGCCCATCCAAAGTGACAACTCTTTACATAATCAAGTCGGGCTATTTCCTGCACAAATCCAGGTTTTCTCACATCCCCCCCACCCCCATACACACACAAACTCACTCTCCTGCTGGTAATAGCTCATCTAAACTGACCACTCTCCAAGTTTAAATCCAAGTTAAACCAGAACATCTGGGGGGGGGGGGGGGAGAGGAAAAAACAAGAGGAAACAGGCTACCTTGCATAATGACTTAGCCACTCCCAGTCTCTATTTAAGCCTAAATTAATAGTATCCAATTTGAAAATGAATTCCAATTCAGCAGTTTCTCGCTGGAGTCTGGATTTGAAGTTTTTTTGTTTTAAGATAGCGACCTTCATGTCTGTGATTGCGTGACCAGAGAGACTGAAGTGTTCTCCGACTGGTTTATGAATGTTATAATTCTTGACATCTGATTTGTGTCCATTTATTCTTTTACGTAGAGACTGTCCAGTTTGACCAATGTACATGGCAGAGGGGCATTGCTGGCACATGATGGCATATATCACATTGGTGGATGTGCAGGTGAACGAGCCTCTGATAGTGTGGCTGATGTTATTAGGCCCTGTGATGGTGTCCCCTGAATAGATATGTGGGCACAATTGGCAACGGGCTTTGTTGCAAGGATAAGTTCCTGGGTTAGTGGTTCTGTTGTGTGGTATGTGAGATGAGATGGAGCTTCCAGATAGAGAGGAATGTCTGGGGGAGAAGGGAGAAGAAGAGAATGAAGTGGCTGGGAAGCAGGGGGGTGGGACGAGACAGCACTAGGCTGCACAGAAGGCTGTTCAGGGAAAAAAGGAGGGGGATAGGGTTGAAAAGAGAGTGAACATAAGCAACCGAACAGACAGAAGGAGAAGAAATGAAAAGCAAAGTGGACAATGCGATTACACATTTCAGATGGGACCCCACTCTTCAGTGTCAACAACTTCAGTACATTCCTAATAATACTCCCTCATGTAGGAAACACTAGGTAGTTGCCAGGGGTGGTTACCTGGGGAAGAGGTCCACAGGGCAATCTATTAAGACACTGCAGTGCTATAAAAAAGTTTGTGCCTTGCATAAAACAGGAGTAGGCTTGGCCATACCCACACCAAAAGGCCACTTTGTTCCCTCTCCAGTTTACATTCTCGCTCTTTGACTCCTACTTCAGTTTTCATTTAAGAAGGGTTTCTCTCCTACATTCCCCCTCCCTCTACGCAGAGCCCTAAGCATTACAGCTGGAGCCCTTTCACTCCAACTCACCGTTCTCCTGTTCCCCAGAGGACGAGGTCACCAGTGTCTGGCAATATCAGACACTTTTAACATAAATCCTGTGAGGCTCTTGTTGTATAATTTGGTTTCAAGTCTCAGGGACTTTTCTTAGCAGGGAACCAAATCACTATGAGGTGGAATACAAAATTCCACAACTAAGTCTGAACTGTGGCTTCAACAACATGGCCCTTCCACCCGCCAGCAAACCTCCCTAACAGAAAACAGCTACATCACAAGAGAAAACCTGTGCATGTTATTTTTAATCTTTCCTTACTCACTTATGGTAATTAGAACTCCTATAGCAACTTTGCCTGCAGGCACCGCCCCTGCAGCTCCCAGCCAATGGGAGCTGCGGGAGTCCTCGGTGAAGGCAGCACACGGAGCTGCCTGGCCATATCTCCACCTAGCAGCTGAACGAGCGGGATGTCACCGCTTCCTGGGAGCCCCCCAGGTAAGCACCACCCAGAGCCTGCCTCACCCCGTCCTGTGCCCCAATCCCTTGCTCCCTCCCACACCCAAACTCTGCTGCGGGAGGGGTGGGAGAGGAGACTGCCCCAGCAGCGACCGGTAAGACTGGCACAGGAGCCGTCTGAGCTGCCCCTGAGTCAGGTGCACCAGCTGCTGCAGAAGTCAGAGGTCACGGAATCCGTGACCTCCATGACAAAATTGCAGCCTTGATGATAATACATTGACAGTTTTGTACGTCACTTTCAATCATTGGATTATATATGTACAAAATACTATTATATTGCAACCAGGCATCTTGAAGTGCCTTGCTAACACAAACGAATGAATCCTAACAATACTCCTGAAGGTACAACAGTCAACGGTTGTTAGACATATTTTACAGAGGGAAAAACTGAGGCCCATGCTGGCCAACATCACACAGTGAATCAGTGGCAGAGCTAGAAAGAGGAAGGGAGTGCAGACTCCCAGTTCCTTACTCTAATAACTAAAAGACACTGCCTTTCTACGTTAGAACCCAACTGAACTAAATACTACAGATTAGACTGCAAAAAGGATCAAATCAGTTTGGAAAGGTTCAGACATGATGACAAGTTACTTCTTAACAGTATAGTCTTCTAGGCTCAAAACTAGGCTTTCCCTCCCAAATGTGATACCACATGTTCCTCCAGCCTTTCCCGGTATTCTTAAATGTATCTGAAGCATTTATGAAAAACTTACTTTTCCACCTATCTAGAGCACTAACCGCCGTAGGAGAATGAGTATCATATTGCTGATCAGGCAGAAAGTAAGAGTTTTCCTAAGACTAGTATGACAACAAGAGGACAGAGGAAAGAAGTTCACATGGTTATTGAACATGGAAACAAAAATATATCCATGGTTAAGAAAGAAATTACTAGTGTACTTTGCTAGAACGGGGAAAAAGCAAATATATTTTATAAAGTCATGTTTTACACTACAACCTAAATGTACAACCGACCTGCCTATTACAGAAGAGAAACAGGCAATTCCGGAGAGAAAACAGCATGAATTATCAATGTGTCCCAACAAAAGTAACTTAATAAAAGGTATTTATTCACTTGTGATCTGATGTGAAAATTCAGTGTTCAATGACTTTCAAAGACAGACTATTACGCCTGTATAATGTAATCCAGGAAGTTTTCGGAAAATGTAGGGGACAATTTCCTGGTGCAAGTCCTGGAGGAACCAACTAGGGGCAGAGCTCTTCTTGACCTGCTGCTCACAAACTGGGAAGAATTCGTAGGGGAAGCTAAAGTGGATGGGAACTTAGGAGGCAGTGACCATGAGATGGTCGAGTTCAGGATCCTGACACAGGGAAGAAAGGAGAGCAGCAGAATACGGACCCTGGACTTCAGAAAAGCAGACTTTGACTCCCTCAAGGAACTGATGGGCAGGATCCCCTGGGAGAATAACATGAGGGGGAAAGGAGTCCAGGAGAGCTGGCTGTATTTTAAAGAATCCTTATTGAGGTTACAGGGACAAACCATCCCGATGTGTAGAAAGAATAGTAAATATGGCAGGCGACCAGCTTGGCTTAACAGTGAAATCCTTGCTGATCTTAAACACAAAAAAGAAGCTTACAAGAAGTGGAAGATTGGACAAATGACCAGGGAAGAGTATAAAAATATTGCTCGGGCATGCAGGAGTGAAATCAGGAAGGCCAAATCACACCTGGAGTTGCAGCTAGCAAGAGATGTTAAGAGTAACAAGAAGGGTTTCTTCAGGTATGTTAGCAACAAGAAGAAAGTCAAGGGTAGTGCGGGCCCCTTACTGAATGAGGGAGGCAACCTAGTGACAGAGGATGGGGAAAAAGCTAATGTACTCAATGCTTTTTTTGCCTCTCTCTTCACGAACAAGGTCAGCTCCCAGACTACTGCACTGGGCAGCACAGCATGGGGAGGAGATGACCAGCCCCCTGTGGAGAAAGAAGTTGGTTCGGGACTATTTAGAAAAGCTGGACAAGCACAAGTCCATGGGGCCAGATGAGCTGCATCCGAGAGGGCTAAAGGAGTTGGCGGATGTGTTTGCAGAGCCATTGGCCATTATCTTTGAAAACTCATGGCCATCGGGGGAAGTCCCGGACGACTGGAAAAAGGCTAATGTAGTGCCCACCTTTAAAAAAGGGAAGGAGGAGGATCCTGGGAACTACAGGCCAGTCAGCCTCACCTCAGTTCCTGGAAAAATCATGGAGCAGGTCCTCAAGGAATCAATTCTGAAGCACTCAGAGGAGAGGAAAGTGATCAGGAACAGTCAGCATGGATTCACCAAGAGCAAGTCATGCCTGACTAATCTATTTGCCTTCTATGATGAGATAACTGGCTCTGTGGATGAGGGGAAAGCGGTGGACGTGTTGTTCCTTGACTTTAGCAAAGCTTTTGACATGGTCTCCCACAGTATTCTTGCCAGCAAGTTAAAGAAGTATGGGCTGGATGAATGGACTATAAGGTGGACAGAAAGCTGGCTAGATTGTTGGGCTCAACGGGTAGTGATCAATGGCTCCATGTCTAGTTGGCAGCCGGTATCAAGTGAAGTGCCCCAAGGGTCGGTCCTCGGGCCGGTTTTGTTCAATATCTTCATTAATGATCTGGAGGATGATGTGGATTGCACCCTCAGCAAGTTTGCAGATGACACTAAACTGGGAGGAGAGGTAGATGCACTGGAGGGTAGGGATAGGATACAGAGGACCCTAGACAAATTAGAGGATTGGGCCAAAAGAAATCTGATGAGGTTCAACAAGGACAAGTGCAGAGTCCTGCACTTAGGACGGAAGAATCCCATGCACCGCTACAGACTAGGGACCGAATGGCTAAGCAGCAGTTCTGCAGAAAAGGACCTAGGGGTTACAGTGGACGAGAAGCTGGATATGAGTCAACAGTGTGCCCTTGTTGCCAAGAAGGCCAATGGCATTTTGGGACGTATATGTAGGGGCACCGCCAGCAGATCGAGGGACGTGATCGTTCCCCTTTATTTGACACTGGTAAGGCCTCATCTGGAGTACTGTGTCCAGTTTTGGGCCCCACACTACAAGAAGGATGTGGGAAAATTGGACAGAGTCCAGCGGAGGGCAATAAAAATGATTAGGGGACTGGAACACATGACTTATGAGGAGAGGCTGAGGGAACTGGGATTGTTTAGTCTGCAGAAGAGAAGAATGAGGGGGGATTTGATAGCTACTTTCAGCTACCTGAAAGGGGGTTACAAAGAGGATGGATCTAGACTGTTCTCAGTGGTAGCTGATGACAGAACAAGGAGTAATGGTCTCAAGTTGCAGTAGGGGAGATTTAGGTTGGATATTAGGAAAAACTTTTTCACTAGGAGGGTGGTGAAACACTGGAATGCGTTACCTAGGGAGGTAGTGGAATCTCCTTCCTTAGATATTTTTAAGGTCAGGATGCTAAAGCCCTGGCTGGGATGATTTAGTTGGGGATTGGTCCTGCTTTGAGCAGGGGGTTGGACTAGATGACCTCCTGAGGTCCCTTCCAACCCTGATATTCTATGATTCTAATGATTTACTGCTAGTTCATGAGCTTTAATTCACACACAATAATACTGACTGGTTCACTGCCTGTATGAGTTCTTGGTTTGCCAGGTGCGTTTCCTTCTTTCCACATTTATAAGCAGCAGCAGACATGCAAACTTGAATTTGCTTTATGCTAAAGGACCCAACACTAGAATTACTGCCAATGCCACAGGCATTTATCACTAAAACAGGTCAAAGAAAGCACAGAGTATCATGGCAACCTGAGTCACTAATGCATTCACCCTAAGATACTCTCGCAAAATGATTACATGTTTTAGACACATTTAATAAATAGGAGACCATTTTTCCCCATGAAGGAGCACAAAAGGTGTACAAATTAACTGGAGGCAACTAGATGCCTTGACTAGAGCATTAGGGAGCACTGAATGAATTTTGGGGTTTTCTAATGTTTACAAGGAATTTTCTAAATAATATGTTTTGATATTGAAACAGTCAAATAGCACATTTTCAGATGCAGGAAAGATCTCAGCTACTTCAGAGTGTGCACAGGTCAGGTATTTGAGTCCTGGATCATTTCTAACCTATAATATTATAATGGTTATGGAACAACAAATACCACAATTCCGCATCTTGGAGTCTTTTAACTCTAATGTTTGTTTTCAGATTTCCTGAATAAACCAGGTTAACCACGAGTGGATGAATACAAAACCCCTTTGTGTTAGATTTAGCAACTGGTAAAATACTTTCTGGTCCCTCACTCTGTAGAATTCTGCCATGAAGACTCGATTCTATTAAGCCATGGCAGCTGGGCAGACTGCATAGGCTATACACACTCTCCTGGTCACTAACTATCCAAAAAGAAGATCTACATTCGGCATGTACTTGTGCGTATTCTATTTCCAACACTTACTTGATGGAAGAAAATGCCGGGTAGTAATCATGGGCTTTTTATCTCCATCGGAACTGCTTGTGCTACTCCAGCTGCCCCAGCTACCACGACTGGCACGTACACTTCCTGAAGAACTTCCACAGTCTGAGCTTGAATCAGAGCAAAACTTTTCCAAACAATTCTTCTTAGATCGTTGATAAAAGATTTCTGAAGGAAGTTGAAAAAAAAATTAAAAATATTACATTTAAACTCAAAATTAAATAAAAATTGTTTTTGAAATGTGTGATATTAATCCTTTAAATCTGCTGAGCAGAAACAGGGAGTATTATTTATAGATAGCGTCACTGGCATGTAGGCATTTTATGGGCATACAAGATGACAAAATCCCTGCCCTGGAGGAGCTTACCATCTAAATTACACCTATAATACAATGGGAAGTGACAACAAACCATGGCCTATAGGGGCTGAGACAGGTGGAAGAAATGGGAAGTGCATACTGCTCTTTAAGCAGCATAAATTTTATTGTAAACAGAGACCTTATATAAAAGACCCTGGGAACATGCACATTAAAAACAAGAACAAACCTAATTGATAACTCAGTCATGAACTATGGACTTTCCCCTTCTCCTCATTTTAACAAGAATAAGAACCACCACTATATAAACTCATTTATCTTCTTAACATACCCTCTTCTCAAAAGCTGGGGAAAACAGATAGACTTTGAGGAAAAGTGAACAGGCCCTGGATCCGTGGACCAAGGCAGGAAACAAGGTTCAAAGTTGATGGTTATTCACTGAAAATGCCCTACCCATACCCCACCTGATGCTATTCTGGGGGCTGTCACTTTAACTGATCTCAGGTAGGCATGATAAAGTAGGCATGTCCCAAACAGTTTAATGCAGTGTTGTTCCCAGGATATCAGAGACAAGGTGGGTGAGGTAATATCTTTTATTGGACCAAATTCTGTTGGTGAGAGAGACAAGCTTTTGAGCTTACACAGAGCTCTCTTTAGGTCAGCTCTGTGTAAGCTCAAAAGCCTCTTTCTCTCACCAACAGAATTTGGTCCAATAAAAGATATTACCTCACCCACCTTGTCCCCCAAACAGTTTAAGACATTATAGTTTCATGCTCTGACATGTCTTTTTACCTTGACTAGGGAGTATTGTGGAGGAAATGCATTCAGCCCCTCAGAGAACGAATACTTTTTGGTATTTCTTGGCATCTCAGCAACCATGTTGACTGGCTCCCAGAGGAGCTACATATAGCCCTCATTGGCCAGGATGGTCACATTAAGGGGCCCATGAGGGCAAGGGAAATAGAAGTCCCCAAGGGAAGGAATCAAAATATTGTGGTGTCAAAAAACTACACATTACTTTTTCCCAATGCAATCCCAATAATGATTACATACCTGTTTCTCCCTGTGTAGACAAGTTCCCAACTTTTTGGTCTGTTTTACAAGTTTCCCTTATGCCAATGTTAGTTCTTAGTTCAGGCCTTTCAAATTCATTGCACATACGCTTCAACTCATTCTGTTCAGGAACCCTGAAATAATCACAAACCAAAATGCATTTACATTTTAAGTATCATTTCCCCCCTTCCAATTACTAAACATTTTATTAGCAACTCTGTCAAGGCAAGATCTTGAGCTGGGAACAGCCTCAAAACTCTTGTTCCTCAGGTTGGCTGGGTCTGTGAGTGAGACAAAGGTGACAGATACCTTCAGAGCTCAGACAGGACAGTTTGGGTGCAAGAATTGGCCGCATATTTCCAACAGCTTGGAAGCTCACCAGAACTATCACGTGCTTCTTTACAAACATTGTCACACCTTCCTCTCACTGCCCCCTACCTGTGAAGCACAAAGTGATCCACAAAGTCATTACCCTCTCCTCCAAGTTGTTCCTCAAAACACACTTCTCCTCTGATGCCTACAAGAAAGTATAGGTTGAGGGACAGTCTGGGATAGTTGAAGTATTGTCACCCTTTTTTTAAATATAAAGATTGTATATCTTCCAAACAATCTCTCCAATGCTATATATTGTTTGCCTTCCTAGACTCCAATCTTGCAATCAAATCCATTGAAATCAAAGTATTTCTGCAGAGCTGTAGAGTCTGCCCAGGGGGATATGACTGCAGGATCAGGGTCTAAAATTGTTAGTTCCTTGTGACAAGGACCTAGATTTCCAGTGCACCCTGAACCTGATTTGGGTTCCTGAACACTAACACAATAGATCATCATCATCAAAATAATAAGCAGAAGAAAACCCACAACTGATTCAGGAAATATTTTTCTCTTTTCAATTCTTAGCTAGTAGGAGCCAACATTTCTTGATCTAATACATTATCAGTCAGATCCATGTTAAGGGAAGCCCAAAACCAATCAGGTGGCAGGGTGAATGCAGAATAGAACTACCCTGTGGAAACATCAAAAATTTGTTATCTTTAGTATTATGTATTTCAGGACTAGTTTGACTAATATTGGAAATGACAAACATTTGAGTTATTATTTTTATGGAGAGTAGATGGCCACATTTTAATGCCTAGAAAGCAATGATTTTTGAAAAGTAAATAAATGAACCAGTAAGAGAAATAATACTAGACAAACATTTCCCTTCCATTTTTGTTTTTCTTATCTACACAGACCTTGATCCTGTGCTGAATTCTATGTATTGTGAGCAGACTGTGTTATGCAGGATTATCACAATGGTCCCTCGTGTTCTGGCTTTACAATTGGTTTTGTCTAGTTACACTATTTAAGAGTCCGTTAAGTCAATTTAATTCTTTTCAGGATTGTGGTCTTAAAATCTAAGCTGTTTGGGGGGAGGCACTTTCTCTTATTGTATTTTTGTACATTGTCTAGCACAATGGGGCCCTGATTCCAAATGGCATCTTTAGAAGTACTGTAATAATAATTTAATAATGATAAACAACAACATGAAATAATAGGAAAAGCTTACAATTAATTGACTCTTAGAAATTATTGAAGTAAACTTATAAAAAAAGTTTTAAAAATATTTCTCAGGATCTTTTCATATTTCTGTCTAATATTCTGATCTAACATTCCTTTAACTTACCACAACACTTGGCAACAAACGACAAAGAAGTCATTTAGTCTGAATGTCCCAGGTATCCCAGACTTCCTCTTTTAAAAGTTTATTTTTAAATCACTACACTTCATTGGAGAAATGCTGGCTTCTTCATAAAAAAAAAAAATTCTTCTCTTCCTCTTTATACTATATTAGAAGATAAAATTGCTTCCAACTAGTTAAGAGATGATCTGATTCACACGAAGTTGGAATCATTTCAAAAGATTTTTCTTTGCTGCAGACAATACATTCTGGATTTTATCCACTCGGAACAGAGTGGAAAGGAAACTAACCATCGGGAGTTTTAAAGCAGGCAAATTTCCAGTCTATAAGGAGAAGCAATTAAATACTGACCAGGATGTAAATTCAAACTCTCACATTTCTCCATTGCTTGTTAGTTTAAAGTCTGTCTACAGAGGACATACGTGTTCACAAAAGTGCAGGTGTACCATATTTTGCGATTATAAAATTAGCATTATTTTATTTGTTATCAGGCATATAGATTTCTGGGTGATTTGTTCCTTTAATCTGAAGTGCTCAGCAAGAAACATTTTACAGCTCAAGAATAAATCAAAGAATTAAAGTAGTGACTTCCCCATGAAAATCCTCCCATTCTCTGCAATTGAATCCTAAACGTGGCCCTGATTCTGCAAAGAGATCCATCCAGGTGACCCTTTGCAACCACAACAGGTCCCACTGAAATCAACAGGGCACCTTACAGATTGCTTTGCAGAATGGGGAGTGTACCTATACACACGTGGGCACACACACATTTTCCTGTGTAATATAGTATAGTATGTATTAAATATGACAGTTTTAGCCCTGGATTATATCATCATACAATAACCTGCATACTGTACTACACAAAACCTAAAGAGAGACTAAAAATGCAGAAATGAAAGCATTTCCAGTTTCAACATGGCATAATAAAAATTGTGATTATCCGAGGATGCAGCACACACCTTGGAGATATATTGACATTCTTTTTCTTGTTTTTTCTAGATGTTCTATTTCTATTCCAATTTATATTTGATAAATTGCCTTCTCTTTTCTCCTGAGATCTCTTCTTCCTGAAAGCATCTTCTTGCTGAAAAGGTAAAAACATGAACGAGTGAGACAACGTGTCTATTATCAATGAAGTAACCTTGGTAAATTCATGTCAGAGGTTTTATCTAGGCAAAGAACATTCACAAAATGACACTTTTAGTGGAAGATTTAGTGCCACTTTCCAAGATCACCACTTAATCTACCTACCCAAGATTCAGACCTTCATATCACTGGTAAATGTTGAGAGATAAAAGTTTCTGAATCCCCAATGTGCTAGCATTTCCCCCCTTTCCTTCCCTGCCCTGCCCCTGAACAAAGTAGGGAGTGCAGAGGATGATAGGGGAAAATGTCTATACAATTCTTAATGGACTAAAAACTAGAAACATCTGCCTGATTTGTGATCAGCTTGTGGGAGTGTTCAGCAGCAATAAATTCTCTCTTCCCTCACCTATTGGTGGTGTCCCCTCTGTTTATCTGACATACTACTGAAGAAATAATGGGGATAAGTAAAACAGAAAATATTAATAAATTTAAGTTTTAATTTATATTGGACTTAAAACAAAATAGACCACCACCAGAAACGCATGAAAAGCGGCAGAACATGGCCAAAAGCCACTTATAACTGCATTAACATTTTCTCAAAACAAGACTAGGATCCAGCAAATGTTTTCAATATGTGCTCCGGAAGTACGACATGTAATTTATTATAAAGCTTTTCGTGAACAGATTAGATAGAACCCATTTCTGATTCGGCCCCCTGCTCTATCAGTGAATTTAGGAAGTCACTTAAACTCTCTGTAATGTAAATACAATACATAGTGTTTGTAAAGCTTTTGAAATCTTTGGACAGAAGATGCTATCTTGCAGGTTTCTGGTTATTATTACTATTTAGCAATTTGTGTAAATGAATTCATCTTTTGTCATGCTCAAATTCAGTTTCTGGCACAGAGATTAGTCATAGGTTCCAAGGCTCCTGTATAACACAGGCCACAGAACTTCCCCAAAATAACCAGAGTGAAAGACAGCAAGATAGCTCTCTAACAAGGGTCAGAGGAGGGAGTTTCCGCACAACACTACTGATGCTGACACTTGGTGTTAGATTTAAGTCAGATGGTGTGAGAGGGTGTGTTTGTGCCTGCACTAATATTAATTACATGGAAACAAATGGGTTTGTGATATAGCCCACATTACATATAAAGCCTACTTGTGAACTCCACCAAAACATTTTGTATCCTTTTATAATCCAGTGTTAATACATAAAACTAGGACACGTAGAGTATCACAACCTGGGGGTTCTACTCATTCATTAGATGATCAGTAAAGTGATTTTAGGATTTATTCTTTACAGAATATTTCTCTCTCTCTTTTATTTTAGGCATTTTAAATATGAAACTGAGAAAGATCATTTGATACAAACCTCAACTGAAGCAAGTTCCTGTTTTCCACAGCATGGTGTATCCTCCTTATGTCCTTTACTAATCTTTTTCTCAGTGGAAGGCTTTGTGTTAATCTGCTTTTTCAAAGTCTCACAGTTTTCTATTTCATTCCTGAGAGGCACTTGTTGGTTATTCCCTGGAGTGAAACAATACAAATAGTGTAACTTTGTACATGAGGCTCCCATTCCCTTCCCTGGTCACTCTACCTTGGCCAACATTTTCAAATTTGGATGCTTCGCAAAACACTACGATTATAAATCATTTTTGTTTTGCTATCCCAAAAAAACAAAAATACAAAAGTTAACACTGCTGTGTAACACTTCTAAAACCAGCTGCAAGAGGCAGTTTTATATATAGCAGTACTAATATACACTTCCCCTACGTACCAACCTTGCTATAATCACCCTACGTCAATTGGTTCTTTAGTCCCTATGTACAGTTAGAGCCACACTGGGGGCACACTTAGCTAAAACTCTCATCCAGGCTCTCATCATCTTACATCTCAATTGCTACAACATCCTTTTCTCTGACTTTAATAAATATAAGCTAGCCCCATTCACATTTATTCAGAATGCTACTGCAAACATCATTCTCTTAGTCCTCTTTTTACATCCCGCCACTGGCTCCCCCTTTCTCTATCACATCAAACATAAGCTACTTGTTTTACTTTCAAGGCTCTTCATAGCCTATCCCCACCCTACCTACCATCTCTCATTCACCATTGAGATGTCAGCTTCCACCGCCCACTGCCCCATCAGGCCTCCATAGACTACCTGTTACATTTTCAAACAAGCACACTGGTGCTCTCTCCCTTGCTGCCCCTCCCCACAAACATCCACAAAGCTAGCATCTTGTCTACAAAGGGAGTTACTCTGGAAAGGCTATGTCTGATTAGCTCCATTTGTGGATGCTCTTATTCCAAACGATCTTGATCCACTTCTAACACGGATTAACAAAGTGGATTAAGATAATTCAGAATAATGCACTCTCATTCTGGAATAAGAGCGTTCACACATGGAGTTAATCTGAAATAGTAAATCCGCTTTAAATTCACATTCTGCCTTATTCCAGATTAACTTTCATATGTAGACAAGCCCTTATTCACTATCTTCCTTCAAAACCCTCCTTAAAACTCCCTCTGCTGTGACGCCTACAAAAAACTTGTCCATGGTTAGGCTGCTAGTGGGCTGAGACCACAGTCCATCATGCTGCCAATGTTGCCACTGCTTCCTTATGCTCCCATCTATTTGTCATTATCTGTATGTCGTACCATACTTAGATTGTAAGCTTTTTGAGACAGGGATCTTCTTCTTTTGTTCTGTGTTTGTACAGCAGCTAGCACAATGGGATTCTGGGCCATGATTGGGGTTCCTAGGTGATACGGCAATATAATTAGCAAATAAAAACAACAACAAGGATGGACTTGGGCGAGGATTTTTGGTTGTGCAACTCTCACCTAGAAGTCAGCCAAGTTTCCCTCACTGGCTGCTTTTAGGTAACTTAAGGTCCATTTATTCTGTTTGACCTATTATCAGGCTGGTTGGATCTTTTATTTTTAATTTTAACGTTCTGCACTGATATTATTGTACAATACTTAATTGCATTATAAATGCACTGAATTCTTCAGCTGCAAAATATTAAGAAATACAGACATTTGAGACTACCCTGCAACCTAATGACAAGGCTTTTGGCTGCACTGCACATGGCATGCAAAAGGAACAGGAATACTAAGGTCGTGACTATACCACCGATCAAACCGCAGTGCTGATCTTTGGTGGGAAGGGTACGCCCGTCCCAATCTCATTCTTCAGTGCTCCTTATTAGCCTGTTTACTAGCAGTGCCTGCAACCTCTGAGGAACTCAACCCTCCCTCCTTTGTGAATGGCAGCATCACAGTGGCAGGGGCATGGATGAGCATGGAGGGGATAGGGAGGAGTAAAGAAGCATCAGAAAACAAAGCAATGAGCAAGATTAGAGACTGGAGCTGAGAAAACATGTTACTGGTCTTCTAAAAAATGTGTCACTGCTTTCCAAGATATAACACACAAAGTAAATAGTTTCCTGCTGACTTCTTGGTGCCACAAAGATTCTCTATAATTAACAGTCATGAATGTTTCATACTGGTATGATTCAGATTTAATTTATAGTCCCAAACCATCTACAAATTAAACCACAGAACTTTGGACAGCCAGCAAACCCTGAGAATGCCAGGAGTCAAGAAATAACTGAAACAAACAGCTTGTTTGTTTCACTGTTTGCTCAATTTAATTCTTAAAAATTTGATAATTAAGCAACCATGAGAACTCTGGAAATGTTCTATGAAGGAGTTATATTCAAAACAACAGACTTTAAAAAACTCAGAGCTAGTAGGTAAGAAAGAAAATCTGGAAAGAAAATCAAAGGGAAAAAGGAGTTCCGGAGAGAAGTTTCTCAAAGAAACAATATTAAAGGTGCAACAACTGACTATCCCAATGTGAAGGAAAGAAATGGAACAACTGTAAGAGGCCAATATGGCTCCATCAGGCTCTTTCATGACCATAAAATCAAAAGGAATTCTACAAAGATACAAATGGTTAAGGATTTACAGTAGGAAACAGCTTGGTTTAGGTATAATGCATGATCTCTCTGAATTGTAACTAAAGATATTTTCCCATGTATTTGGTTACGTTTAAAAGTTTAATCAATTTTTTTCAACTTTATTTAGCAGCTTCTGAAAATATGAACTAGGTTAATAAACAACACTGTACCTCTAGAGCGTATGAAGAATTTCAAAGCACTTTATAAATATTAATTAAATTAGTTTGTCAACATGTCTGAGATGAGTAAGTAGTAGTACCGTAAATCCATTTAACAGATGAGGGAATACACGGGATAACTGACTGAGTCAGGGTTAAATAGTTAGTCTGTGGCAGAGCTAGGAACAGAACCCAGATCTCCTTATTCCCAGTCCCATGTCTCAACCACCAGATAGCATAGAGTTATCAAGACTTCAACAAAAACAGACTTGTCAACTGCATATTTGGGATTCAATCAACGGATTTGCTTTTGCCACCGTCTCAGTGAAAACACATGTCCACAAGAAATATTCCTTTGACTTCCTAACCAACATTTCTCCTTAGTGTTCTTGTGCCTCTTCCCCAAGGCTAGTCTTTCAATCTAAAGTCATGAGCTAAACATCTCCTGAGTCTCTGATGGAAATGGCAACTTGTAACTCGTAATAATGTGAGAATTTCCAAATATCCTGGTGGCAGCTTCTGGCCCTTTCAGGTTACGATATTATTACAAAAGCCGGATGCCTAACTTTCAGAAATGCTAAGCACAACTCCAAATGAAGTCCTTTTTTTTTTTTTTTTTTTAAGATTTAAATAATTTGAATATCTGACCAAGGGCAAACTGTATTTTAATCATATCTGTGATGAAAACATGTTTGTCTCTTAACTTTGTTTTAACCTTTATAAATATTATGGTGTGAATTTACGCACGGAAGCAACTGTGAAGTCTAAAGTTTTATCATATCCATATGATATGAAACTTGCTTTCAGTTTCAAACCTTCCCTTGAAGTTGCATCTAAGCCGCAGCTTTGATTTACAACACAAAGGAATTTTTCTGGCCAGATCCTCTTTCTTGCAAATCTGCATAAACATATCAAAATCAAGAGGCATGAGTAAAATATCCTCACACAGAGGGTGAAATCCTATCCCCACTTAAGTGAAGGAACGTTTTGCCATTGACTTCAGTGGGGCCAAGATTTTCACCCAAGATGACAAATTTCAAAATGAATTATATAAATGGAAGATTACCATTATTTTTCCTGGAAACATCTTGCAATTCTGGCTGTTGCTGAGGTGAATTTGACAAGTGACTTTCGGGTAGCTTCTTAGATGTCTTCAGAGAACAGAACTCCTGTTCTTTGAGCTCAGTTATATCTTCTGAAGTTTTAAGGTTAGTTTCCTTAGGAAACATACATGCTTGAAGATCCTCCTTCAAATCACACTCTGAAGAAGTACTTTTCATGAGAACTGTGTTTTTCAGTGCACTTTCTTCTTTATCCAGAAAGTTTCCTGGAAGAGTTAAATTCTTCTGCAGGTTTACATTTATGCTATTTTCATATTTTAGGTGTAGCCAGTTCTCACTAACAATATCAGTGCAAATGTCCTCTTTTGGTGCTGAGATTTGGTTCTCTACAGTCTGATTCTGCTTTTCATCAGTAGTTGTAATGGCACTGCCAGGTATTGTGTTTGCTTTTTGTTTACTGTAGTAAACTGAACATTTGTGTTTCTTCTGAGAGTGGCTATAGGTTGCTGGACTTCTCTTTGCAGCATTCTGGCTTCGGCTGGATGGAGTGCCTACAGAAAGGAAGCCTTTTCCTTTGCCTTTATCAGAGGTGCTACAGGAATCCATAAAGGTCTTGCAGCTGCCCCTGGATATGAAATAAAGAATTAAGGTGTTTTTTAAATATATATAAAGCCATCATTAAATTACACTTTTAAAAAAGTATTCAATGAGAGGCAGAGAGAAATATTAAAGAAACATAAGAACTGGATTTCTACCTTCTTTCGGTATAAAACTCAGGAAGGGGCAATTTACCCGCTTCTGTCCTAACAGAAAGGAGTGCTCACAGTGTAAAGATTTCACTTAATGGCTATGGATTAAATTCTCACCCAAATTGCATACATGGCTCCTACTGTCTCCAAAGGCACCCACAAATGTGTTTCCAAGCGGAGTCAGCCCGAGGTATGTGCATCTTGTTTGGCCGCATAGGGATTTGCATTTTTAATCACATCTAGATTTCAATAATAGCAATGATCCCTACACAAAGGCTCTGGGCACCCTGATATTTAATTAAATATTACAATTTCACTGTGATTTAAGCATGAGCTTAAGTGCTTCGACCAACTCCAATACACGCTCAAATGCTTGAATGAATTAGGACCTAGGTTCAGAGGTCTGATGGCCAACAAAGTGCTTTCCATTTCTAACTTCTGTGACTGTTAAATATGAACACGTAATTCCCATCACATAGTAACAGTACCACAGCAGCTAGGTAGTGTGTTTACATTACCCACCTTACATTTCATTATCTACGTATTACTAACAATACACAAAAGTAGTTATTCTGAGTTTTGTTCATCTGTCATCTGTACAGATTAAAACACCAGAGTGCACCTGATTTTGTCAGAATGCTGAAAACTCACTGAAACGACGAGGTTTCTTGGAACAGTATCTTCCTAAAGGAGTTCACAGTAATATCATAGTACAAAGATTTAGAAAAGGCTATTCTATGTTAAACAGAGTGCAGATGAGAGCACTTCAGGGGAAGAAGAATTTTTACTTGTAGGAATCAGAGCTGATTATATCCACAGGATTGCTGTTTTGCTGTGACGAAGAACTGGGATTTGGTCTCTGTCTTGATTTCATGAATTCTGCTAAAATGTACTGTGCTTGTTGGAAGGCTATTAGAATCACACCCAATAGGGACAAACTGCAAAAGAAAACAACAGGTTTCACTATATGCATGTCTCTAGACTAATGAACAAAACAGATCAATTCCATAGCAAGTATTGTTTTTCAGACTGTGTTGGTAAATTCCAAACGCAAAGATACCTAACATTAAATTGGAGGAATGGGGTATGGTACAAACAAAAAGTTTGTAGAAGTAATAATTTTTACTCTTTTATTTTTAAGTTTCTGGAAGCTATGATTATTTTATGACAAAACAATTAAACTATTCATTTTACAACAAAAACAAACAAAATTCAAACCTAAAATTATCCACAAGATAATTTGAAGATTGAAGCTAAACGAGGACAGACATATTTTATTTTGCTTAGATATAGCAGAGATCTCAAAACAATGCAAGCTGAACAGGGCATATTGTAATAAACTATGTACTTCACATATATGGGATATGTACACATATTTGCAGGAAGACAGACAGGATGATCTATTAGATCCCCTCTCACTCAAACGTCTACGATTCTGTGGTGTTATTATTTCATAAGCACTAATAACGCACTCACTGCTACACAAGAGACAAATAAAAAGAGAGTCACTCCCCCAAGCAGCTAACAAGCTAAACTACAGACACCGATAAGACAAATTGCACTCTGGAGGCCCCAGAGGGGAAAAAAAATCTCTTAAAAAAAAAAAATTCTCATGCCTTTCTAGAGTGGATGCTAACATAAAATTTATTAGAAATATCAACCTTCATTCTTCTGGGGTCAGTATTTGAAGTCAAAGGATTTTTTCTGTATGGTATATTATAGCATGGGTGAATTATGGGTAATTTTTTGCTACCTCCTGAAGTAGTCTATATACTATTACTATCAGGAAGCAAAATATGTAGACTAATGGAAAATGGCTCTATTGCTATGTTCTTGCAGCATCTGTTAATCAGGCTTTTTCACTAAAATACTTTTAGTTTGTACACAATGCAAACAGAATTAATTTGTATTTCCAGGCCACAGAATAAGCATGCACTGACATGTTATAGTATTAACATGACATTTACATTCACATCCTATCAATTCTGAAAACTAAGAGTGAAACTATTAGGATTTAAAGATTTGTATGAAAATGGCACCAGAAATCACCTACATTGAGAACAGTTTCTCACTTACATTATACAATATAAAAGGTAGAATAGTGTGTGTATGTGCGGGCACACACAAACGCACACACAAACACAAATTACAGACCCAGAAGCTTATCTGTTGTAAACTGGCATAAATCCACTCACTTCAACAGAGGTAAGCCAATTTAAACCCGCTGAGGATCTGACACACAAAATTAGCTAATGCACATACGCTGAGACACCTTTCCACCACAGCCTCTTCAACAGAATTTCTTAACAAAAATCCACATTAAACTAGAGTATGTTAAAAAAAGAGGATCTGTTTATTTGTTTTAAAACAATGTCGTTAAAACCTATGTAAACCTACCAGAAATGCTTAGGGTAGATTATATGTCCATACAGCTCCTTTTGGTCTGCTCAGGTAGTGACAGAAACCACCCACATCTACTGCTAGGTATTTCCACAGCATGGAGGAGTGCTCAGTGGGATAAAGTGACTCCTGGGGCCAGAGGTGCTGGAACAATTTGTATAGTGGGGGTGCTGAGAGCCACTGAACCAAACTGTAAACCCTGACTATGATGGAAATCACTTCAAGCCAAGGGGTGAGGTAGCACCCCCACACCCCGCATCCCTAGTTTCAGCACCTATGCCTGGGGCATAAACGAGGCAGGAAGGGGAAACGGCTAATACTTACTCTGCTCTAACTATCCCCAAGTGACATATGGTCCCATCGGGCTCATATTCACCTAGCACAAGTTAGAACACTTGGATGCAACAGAGAATCTGTCCATAAAATTTATGACTTTACTAATAGCTTAAACAACTTGTATTTGCATCCATGCTAACCATCTATAGTTATCTAATAAAATACTGCCATAGGTGTGTATGGCACTTTCCAGGCAGGAGAAGACATGTTCTTTCCCCAAGAAACTTAAAAGTTATAGGTCCAATCCTGTAAAATCCTGAGCATCCTCTATGTTCAGCAACTAGGTCTTTGAATCAGACCCTAATTACACATCATGACATTACACATTTCTCTAAAACTGACATTTTATATAAAGGTAGCAGCTGCTGACATGTAACTCAAAGAACCAAAAGCAACTATAAATCTTTGATAGATTGATTTTCTTTTCTTTTTAATTTGGGTGAGGAGTGCACAGCACAAGAAGCAAGTATATTACCTAACAAAGAGAACTGTGAGCCTCCAGAAAGACTCTTCCCAGCTAGGTCCTGGCACCACATCTGCACACAAGGGTAACAAATGGTGAGGAAGGGTCACGTTGAGTGTAAAGTGGAACTCTACATCAGCAGCAGTCACCAAAGTAAGCTCACGGATTACCCACGAAGAAGTAAAATCAGGGGTAAACCTGTCAACAAAATAAATGAGGCCAGTGTTATTTTTCTATAGTAAGATTTAGTTTTATTACGATGTCATTGATTTAAAAATACTAAACAGTGATCATAAACAGCTTCTAATTTAATATGAAAAAAAGATGAGAGACAGCTGCTTGCTTCAAGATTGCCTCCTGCTGACCAGTTTATGTAGTGATGTTAACAGCTACCTAAGAGAAGCACTTGCCTGCCCGCTTTACAACTGTAATTGTGTTGGCATTCTCTATGTGATACACTATAAGGTATTATTTAATTTTGATGTTTTCTCCTGGAAAAGGAGAATGGATAATCAACAAATACTAAATGAAATTCTTTGTACAATGCTAAAATGTACAGACAGTTGAGAGTGCACTGTATTTGCTGTACGTAGACGCACAATTACTGCATTACAATCATATCCCTTTTTCCTTGTTTTTAAAATCTTGAGTTACACTTGCATGGGCATTAGAAAAAATATTTAAAATATGTATTGGTAGAAGCACCTGACTAGCTGGTACTAATGACTGTGATTAGTCATCAAACGCATAGAAAATCAGCAAACAAATGATAAAACAATGAAAAAAAAAAGAAAATATATGTTGTTCATTTGTCCTGACAACCATTCAACTTTAATTTAGTAATACTTCACAGTGTAGTAATAAAAATACCATAGTATGCTTTGTAAAAATAATCTAATTTTACTATAGTACTAGCTTTTAATGTAACATTACTGAAAAGAGGAGAGCTTTATATGTCTATTCAAAAGAGACTGAGCTTCTTCTGTGGACTAATGAGGTGAGGTTCTTCTGCCATTTCAAATTCACACTTACATTAACTAATTTCTTGGTTAACAATCAATGCTTACACAATGCTGATCTCCCGCGAAGAGTTCTGAGCCAGGAAAAATTCCTGACAGTCTAACACTTCAAACCCATATCCTTGGCAACTGTACCCATTAATCTTCATAGATGATACAGTTATAGGAAGAGGCCCAATATTCTCCACTTTGAAATTCTTTGTGATAGATAAAATTTGCTTGCTGTCTTTCAATTCTAAAGGAAACAAAATTAGCATTTAGTAACTACAAAGCACAGAGAGTAATTTTACTTTTAATATTATTTTAGAAATTACTGCTTATAGTTCACATTATTTTACGATGTTCCAAAACTGAGAGTTAGATTTTTCATTTGATAAATTGCATTCTGCAGAAACATACGACAGAATTTGTAAGATCATCAGGCTTGTGTTATGACAAAACAGAATCTGCATCTGTTTTACTACTGCACTGTCCAGTTTTACTTTGACAAATTCTATTTCATTAAATGCTGTAGGAGTATTAATGATAGGAAAAAAATAACAAAAAACAAATTAATTTCTCTGCTGCTCCACATTCTTTTTACTGATACCAAAATATTGTCCAAAATGCTTTTTACTCAACGCATGAAGTGTTCTTTATCATTATGTCTACTGTCTGCACTAATATATATGGAGTTGATTTCTGAATTACAGGAAGGTAGTGGAGGGCATGCTTGATGGAAATGCTTTTAAAAGATGATTCTCTGACCATCTGGGCTTTTTTGTTGATGTCAATACATGTAACTTACAGAATCCATTTCAGCCATCACAGCTAATCAAGGTTATGATTTTTCCCCTTTATGCTATTTCTGTGTAACACCAGCATCACTACAGTCACAAGCTAAATGGAGCATAGTAATGCGTTGTTACAGGATCAGAGATCTGTTTTTTGTTACTCACGTCGTCTGCAGTCCATGAGTGTAGCTTCTGGTACCTTAAATCTAAGTGATCCTCCTGCACCTGGCAGTCTTCCACCTACTTTTAATAATTCTCTGGCTCCAAAGCCTTCTACGTTGACCACATCCAGAACAGTCAAGTTATTTCTGTCACAACATGAAAACCATGTAATCAGCTTTTGATACAGAAAAGATAACTCAGCAAAACAATCCCACTTCTATTACCATCTTGGTGCAAGTCCATCACAGTTCCCACCTCAGCAGCTGCAGAGGTCACGCAGCAGCAGAATCAGTGTGCACATTGAAAAAAGAAAAGGAGTACTTGTGGCACCTTAGAGACTAACCAATTTATTTGAGCATGAGCTTTTGTGAGCTACAGCTCACTTCATCAGATGCATACCGTGGAAACTGCAGCAGACTTTATATATACACAGAGAATATGAAACAATACCTCCTCCCACCCCACTGTCCTGCTGGTAATAGCTTATCTAAAGTGATCAACAGGTGTGGGAGCAGTTTTAATGCAGAAAGGACCTGATCAAGAATTCCACCCTGTAGTGTTTCTCAGCAAAAAGCTGTCTGAGAGGGAAAGCAACTGGTCAGTCACTGAAAAAGAATGTTACGCCATTGTCTATGCTCTGGAAAAGCTACACCCATATGTTTGGGGACGGCGTTTCAACCTGCAAACCGACCATGCTGCACTGAAGTGGCTTCACACCGTCAAGGAAACTAACAAAAAACTTCTTCGGTGGAGTTTAGCTCTCCAAGATTTTGATTTCGACATCCAACACATCTCAGGAGCTTCTAACAAAGTGGCTGATGCACTCTCCCATGAAAGTTTCCCAGAGTCAACTGGTTAAAATCGTCCTTGAGATGTGGAAAATATTGTTAGTCTTTATGTACTTGGTAGTATATTTAGAGATGCATATGTCTTATTAACTCTGTTTTTCCTAGAGCTCCAGGAAGAAATCCCAGCCAGTGTTTCACCCTAGCTGAGATTTGGGGGGCGTGTCATCAATATAAAGGGAAGGGTAAACCCCTTTGAAATCCCTCCTGGCCAGGGGAAAGCTCCTCTCACCTGTAAAGGGTTAAGAAGCTAAAGGTAACCTCGCTGGCACCTGACCAAAATGACCAATGAGGAGACAAGATACTTTCAAAAGCTGGGAGGAGGGAGAGAAACAAAGGGTCTGGGTCTGTCTGTAGTCGTCTTGGCCGGGGATAGACCAGGAATGGAGTCTTAGAACTTTTAGTAAGTAATCTAGCTAGGTATGTGTTAGATTATGATTTCTTTAAATGGCTGAGAAAAGAATTGTGCTGAATAGAATAACTATTTCTGTCTGTGTATCTTTTTTGTAACTTAAGGTTTTGCCTAGAGGGGTTCCCTATGTTTTTGAATCTAATTACCCTGTAAGATATCTACCATCCTGATTTTACAGGGGGGATTTCTTTATTTCTATTTACTTCTATTTTTTATTAAAAGTCTTCTTGTAAGAAAAGTGAATGCTTTTTCATTGTTCTCAGATCCAAGGGTTTGGGTCTGTGGTCACCTATGCAAATTGGTGAGGCTGTTTATCCAACATTTCCCAGGAAAGGGGGGGTGCAAGTGTTGGGAGGATTGTTCATTGTTCTTAAGATCCAAGGGTCTGGGTCTGTAGTCACCTAGGCAAATTGGTGAGGCTTTTTACCAAACCTTGTCCAGGAAGTGGGGTGCAGGGTTTTGGGAAGTATTTTGGGGGGAAAGACGCGTCCAAACAGCTCTTCCCCAGTAACCAGTATTAGTTTGGTGGTGGTAGCGGCCAGTCCAAGGACAACGGGGGGAATATTTTGTACCTTGGGGAAGTTTTGACCTAAGCTGGTAAAGATAAGCTTAGGAGGTTTTTTCATGCAGGTCCCCACATCTGTACCCTAGAGTTCAGAGTGGGGGAGGAACCTTGACACAGTGGGGTGGGAGGAGGTATTGTTTCATATTCTCTGTGTATATATAAAGTCTGCTGCAGTTTCCACGGTATGCATCTGATGAAGTGAGCTGTAGCTCACGAAAGCTCATGCTCAAATAAATTGGTTAGTCTCTAAGGTGCCACAAGTACTCCTTTTCTTTTTGTGAATACAGACTAACACGGCTGTTCCTCTGAAACCTGTCAGTGTGCACATTGTGGATCAAATTCACGCCCATTCAGCAGGTCAGCCCAAGGCCTGTGCACCACTGAAGTCCCATTCAGGCTTTCCGAGCAGACGTGATTTTCACCCCCTGTGCAGCGCAGAGCCAAATTCCATGGAGACCTTCCCCAAGATAGTGCACATGGAGCAGCTGGGAGCTAGAGGGTCTGCCACTGGATAGCAGCTGCTTCAACTGGTGAGAAGGGTGGGAAAAATTCCTTCCTTCTCTGCACTCTCTTCCTGCAGAGATCCCAGTACACAGCCTGCTATTTAGGCTGGGCTCTGGGTCCCTGGATTGGTCCCATAAGAGCCAATGTAGTCTACCTGATCACACTACAAATATTACTTGGATTCCTAACATCAAGGAGTTAGATGAAAATCACGTTTTAGTGATAAGAACAAAATTAATAAACCTCTTCTTCTATAGTCACAGGAACAAAACTGATGGGAAATCAAAGGTATTATTCTGCAATGTCAACCACTGGAACTGTACATTTTTGTGTGTTTTTTAATATGCTTATCACGTACAAAAAATCACTTCAATTAGAACTCTATTACAGTATCCACTTCCATAGGACACAAGTGCAAAGTGTAGATCAGATTCTGAAAATCTCTTAAAGTGAAATGGAGGTATTTAAAATGGAAATGTGGTGTATTTGTCTCTGCTGCAGTATTTGGCAAAATTATTTTCTTGAAGCTTATTTGTTTACTTATTGCTTACAAAAGCTAGGTTAAATTCAGAAGCTGGCCTACCTGATTAATATAAGGGAGGCTACTCTTTTGTAGTCAACTGGTGTAAAAACTACACCAACCCTTTGGGTTTCCAATGGTTGTAAATGTAACTGAAGCACCTCAGAACTGGATTTCATGTTAGTAAGGTCCTCCTGATGTGCATCCTGATAAACAAACATGCATTTATTTATTTATTTATTTGGCATAACACATTAAAAAAACCCCATCCCAGTAAAGCAGACATTACATCACTGCTCAGCACTGTGTAAAAACATCTCTGGGTAAGGCGCAATTACTGCCATTTAGCTTATTTGTTTTATGAAAATTATTTCCCATCTGACAGCATAAACCCCATCAGATAAAGCTGTTTATTTGATCAAAAGTTCACATGACAGCATTTCTTTTATTATGAGGAAGGTATTATTTTTTTTTTTAATCAGGTTTTACTTGCTAATATGGAAAAAGTATTTATTTTTGTACAGTGGCTTTCATATTAAAGGAATCCCCAAATCACTCTGCAAAGCAGGGAGAGTGGCAGTGCACTGACTGTGCAGAAGAATGTGGCACCCATTATGCACACAGCACTGGACATTACAACCTGATTTAATTGATGGAGGGACTGCTGGCAATTAGTACGATCATTTGAGCTACTGGAAACACACCACAGAGAATTCCTTAACATCAGACCACCACCACCACCAATGCAGTAAGGCTGGAAATATGACCAAGTTAGGGGTTTTTTTGGAAGGATCGTTTATTCTTTCTCACTATCTAAACAAAAAAACAAAACAAAACACAACCGAAAAGCTTTCTACGCCAGCACCGGGCCTCTCCTCTGACACAGAGAAGAACATTTAGCCACCTATAGAACTAAAAGACACATAAACAATAGTAAGGAAACGGGCTTTTAGTTTAAAGATCGCACCCGGCCAATTTTTTTTTTTTTTTTGGTTCAAAGTGTTTTTACGCTTTGTAATATTTTATAAACTGAAAGATAAAATTACAAACCACAAGACATACAATTAACAGCTAACGTTTATGAGAAGAAAAACATATGGGGCACATTTGCAAACATAGCCTGTAATTCTATACATGCAACTGTGTGCATGTAACCAGGTGTGATTATAACAACTGGTTACACAAACACAGTATTTAGGCACATTATGACACATTCAAAATTTGTGCGCACATAATTAATGACTGGGAAAAGGAAAAATTAAAATCTGCCCCCTCGTCTTATATAGAGAATAGCTGAGTGAAATTATGTGGCCTGCGTCAGGCCATAGGTCATACTTCTGGCCTTAACATCTCTAGGTGAAATCCTGGTCATGCTGAAGTCCATATGAGTTTTGCCATTGATTTCAGTGTGGCCAGGATTTCATGCTATGACTCTATCTGCAGTTTTAATAATAAATGCACTGTTACAGCTATGTTCTCTTTTTCAATACTTGCTTAATGACTAGGATATGAGAAATGTTCCTTCCACCCTTTCAAAAGTTACTTCTGAAGTATATGGGGAAAATCAACTCCTAAGTAAAAATGGAAACCAAGGCAGAGAAGTTAAATGATTTCTCCAAGGTCTCTCAGCAACTTGGGGGCCTGAGATGAGGAATCAGAAATCCAGATTTCTGGTCCCCCGTTCCAATTACTAGACCAATTCAATTTTCTTTTATTATAAAATTATAGCCAGCTCTATAGGGCAGAACCCCACAAGTACATGGTCAACATTAAAGCTAAACACAAATTTAGTATATGATTTGAACCCAGTGCCTTTTTGAAAGCACAAAGATTCCAATTTAAAAAAACAAACCCTGAAAAGCAAACTCGAGAAAAAGATAGAATGTCAAACACAGAATCTAACGCAAAATGGAAAAACATGATTGAATTTCTATAAACAGCATTCAGCAGCAAATGTAAATATAATGCAGCTAGGAATATATGTTTATTTTTCTAATTTGTCAGATATTTTTTCTGTAAAAATTAGACATCTTACCCTGTGTGCACACTCCTTCATGAGCCTAAATTCAGTGGTTGTGAAATTAATAGCTTGCACATTTGTGCCAAACCTAAATAAATCAAGACAAGAATTTAAGTATTTAAACCAAGTTTGTCAAACATCATTGCATACATTTTTGGAGAAATTACAGTATTGTAATATGTTGGCACTTATTCTTAGGGCAAGACTACTTCTACCATTGCATTTTGGCAGATGTGGAATATTACGGAAACAAAGATCTGCATATTAATGGACTCCATGAAACTTAGTTGTAATGCATGTGCTGCTCCCTCGGAGAACAAGGTGACCTTTTGGCAAGGTCAGATTTTTTCTCCATACAATGTAAAATATTATAATAAAAGATTATACAAGAATCAACAACTGAAATTCCTAAGCAAGATGTAACAACAAAAGCAGAACACCCTTGGCCACCCATATAATCTTTAGGAAACATTTAGTATCAGATCAGTGAAAAATTCAGAACGAATAATTTATTCAATAAATGTTGTCCCTCTTTCTCTTCATGAATTCCCCAGGAATAGATTTGGTTTTCTCTAATTTATTTTTAATTTGCAAAAAAATGTTGCAACTAATTTTTGATCTGTCTGTGAACAATTCAGTTGCAAGTATTTGATATTTGTCACTCAGGCTGTTTGGAAAGGACACATAACTTACCAAACAGATTTTTGTTCAATGAGGATAAACCCTGCTCTCAGAAGCAAGCATATCATGTTCAATATTCATAAATATGAATTCAAAACTCACTTTCAATGCAATTCTGCAATATTTGCTCAAATTAAATCACTTTAGGGAACATTACTTCCAGCACTTACTAGAAAATTTGTAGAGAGTAAATAAAAAAGGGTGCAAACGCAAAGAACATTTGTTAAAAAATTGGAATGAATATTTGTGGACATTCTTTTCTAGAATTCACACAAATACAGATATTAGTTTGAATACATTTAAAAGAACTGTGATGTTCAGGAAGCAATTACAGAAGAATCTGGGCCTTGACTCAGCAAGGTACTTAAATAGGTGCCCAACTTTAAGAATGTGAGTAATCCTAATGTGAGTGAGCAGTCAAACTGACTCAAGTCGGTCCCTTTCTCCCATCTCTTGCCCCTCTCCACACAGCTTATACCAGACAAAGAACTCATATGTCATCCAGAGAGTTGACTTAATTATACTGACAAAAGAACTCGTTTTGCTGATATATGCAGCATCTTCATTTGGGGGCTTTGCCAATGCAGCTATAGTAGCAAACCCTTTGAAGTGCAGACTAAACCAGAGAGTCTTTCGCGTAGAGCAGTTCCCATAACCCTCCTACTCCTTTGAGTGTCCCTAAACTCTCCCTCACTGAATTCAGGCTGCCTTTATTTCTCCCAGAAGGCCGAATGCTGAGTCACATGCCCCCATTACAGACCCCTTGACTCCTAGCCTTCACCTGGGGAGGTAAGGCTATGTCCCAACCCCCAGAAAAGGCCAGCTCAGACTCTGGCAGGCATGTGTTTGTTGAATCCATGCCTTGGGGTTTATCATATAATAGCTGTATCCACAAATTCAGTCATATAACATACAACCAAGGTAGATTCGACGTGATGATTATAGAACATCAAAAATGGGATTTAAGATTATGGGGAACCATGCCTCCAGGTAACTTATGATTTTTTAAAAAAGTTAAAACAAGTGCTGAGTAACAACGCTAAGAGATAGAAATAGATCACTAAAAAGGAATATCAGTATTCTGAGATAACATTATATTCATTACCATTTGCTGAGCAGACTCAGTGATGCTTGGGGATCAGGATAGTAAGACAGAGGCAGAAGTTGTAGCGTAACTGGGAAGGATGAGGGGTTTCTTAGCACAAAATATTTTACCTAAACAGTTTGGGGGGAAAAAAGTTAAAACTACATACTTGTGTGCTAGAATTTTAAAACAAGGTAAAATAATTCAGCATTGGTAATACTGGCCTCATTTTCAAAGGAGTCTCAACCCGACTTCTCTTTTTGCACATTAGAATTTGACATGCACAAAACTACATGCAAAAGCTGGGCATGTGTGTACAATGTTTTTATGCGCAAAAGCAAATGATAGTGCTTGAAGAACTACACATGCAGAAAGAGAGGCTACCTTTTTATTTCCATTCAGTATCAGGTCACGCTGGTAGACAGGAATAAAGTTTCCCCAAAGAAACAGGTGAAGTGCGTAAGACACTATTCTTCCTCACTTAGAAATATGAATGATGGGGGACTACCTGGCTCATGCTATTGATTAATAATTTAACATACATAAATTGAATATTAAGATAATAAACAATATTTGCATATGAAGCCTTTCATCTCCATATGATAGGTTCTAACCAAGGCCAGGTTAGTAGTGACCAAAAGTTGCCCAATGAGAACTGAGTTGCTGGGGACAGTCTTGTTCCAAGACGACATACATCACCTGATAGTCCCAATCTGGGATATTTCACAAGCATAATATTCACTCTTAAAAGATGTATGCACAGTGTTATAAAGATTAACATGGAATTATAAACATCACTAATAGTAAAGATCATCACAGCCGGGAGCAGCCCTAGACGTTTTGCTGGCCAGCATGGAAAATGTTTTCAGGCCCCACGAGCGGTCAAGAAAAACAAACAGCTAATCGGGAGGGAAGGGAGAAAAAATGAGTGGCACAGTTCAGTGTCCCTGAAAGCTGGTGTCCAGGGTGACTGCCCTGTTTGCCAGCGCCTAGAACCAGCCCTGATCACGGAATAGCCAAACATACCGTTCCATGTTATTCATTAGTTTTATAATAAGCTACTCTACGCTAGCTAATGAACGCTTCAATAAACATTTCAGAAGGTGAGATCTACTGTGTATTGTTTTAATCCTCAATGTATGTTAATGTATTAAACTAGATACTTCGACAATTTAAACTGTCGTAGAGCCAATCAGATTATAAGAAACTGGTGTTTTGAGATGTACTGGCATGGAGTTTTCCAAAAGCCTTTTTCAAAACCAGTTTGAAAACAATATAACACTGTGTATTAATAATGTTGAACTGGAATCTTAATAATTTAAACTAGCTAAAAATATACACATTTAGATAAAGCTTGAAAACAGTTATCATTACCATACTATTCTTAAGTGCAGTTGCACTGAAGTTTAACGTCAGGCCAGGCTCTGTAATCAAACGTGGCAAAAAGAAAGCAAATGATTCCTCTTCGGGCTTCTTTTGGTGAGCAATGCGAGACAAAAAATTCCTCCTGTTTAATTGGTGAAAACAGAAAGCTTTGTTAAAACCAAAAGAAATTGAGTTTAGTCTCTGGACATGAATTTTCCAGGAGCACTTTGTTATGGTAGATAAGCTTTTCTTGGGAAAAAAAAAAAGTTTTTAACAAAGTAATGCCCATAAGACTGTGACCCTGCATTAACCATCAATTTAAATCTATTTGTCCCTTACTCCTCTGCTTTCATACCTGTAAAATGACTCCCCCCTGCTTGTACAGCTCCATTTTCTCATGCTGGAAAGGGGCTGATGTCAATGCTTCACCAACTTGACAAGGACTGCTCATGCACAGACACACACTTTTCCCTTCCCCATGTCCCCAATACGTCGCATCCATTAGGCAAAGGAAAAAAGAGCTTAAAACCTATTGAAAACTCCTGACCCTGAAAAGGCTACTTTTCAACCTGTGGACAGAGAGGATTTGTGCAGCTGCCATATCTGATCTTGTGACACATGCTTTGTCCTCTTTCAGAGTGAAGTAGCAGTGGTGAGGTTACTACAGTCAAAATGTTATTTACATCCAGTGTTCAGGTATTTAAATCAATTATTGACACTGAGTTAAAATGGGAGATGAGGTGCTTAGCTGCTCTGAATCTCGGAACACCTAATGAAAAGACTAACTTAAGGCACCAGAGTCTGAAAGTTTTTGCTCTTATTTTCAAGTATACTACTATAGCACAGCAAAATTTGTTTCTTATAATACAATATGAAATTTACTACTAGCTGCTGGAATTAAGAACGTGAACAGTCTTTGTACAAACCTGCAGGCTTCCCCATGTTTTATTTTCTGCCATCTTTCATAAAGCTCACTTGCAAGTTCGGAATCCACATTCCACGTAGAATGGTCCAGAGACAAACTCCCTTTCCAAAACAGATTTGCTAAAATGATAATAGATTTCCCATATTTTACTAAAACGTCATTTACTACCTTTATCACTCTGCCCCATAGCTTTCTGTATTGATACCAGTTCTTCAAGTTATTAAAAAAAACAGGTACGTGCGCGTAAACTGGATATTTGTACAACTAGTTGTGCATGCTTTTGAACACTCAAGTAGGACTTTTTTTTGCTGTATCTTACATTTGGAATTTTAGGGCTATATTTCATCTCAGATTTTTATACAGAACTCTTAACTGATGTCAATGGGATATACGGATCACAGTTCAGTATCTCTAACATGGTGCAAAATTATGTTATAGCACCTGCCAGTAGCCAATAATCATTTCCATTTTAGCTCCCCTCTTCCAATTGCTGATAATTTTCTCAAACAAACGAATTCCATTAAAGTCAAAAATATATTTTGGAAGTTAGAACTGGTTTAAGCATTTTTGAGTGCTGTGAGCAGGAATTAGAAATCTGGAATATTGTGTTTGCTACACATTACTAAAATCCATGCAGAGGAGCAACAATTTAAGAAATTAGGATATTCTTAAATGACATAAAACTTACTTGTACTAACCATATATATATTTGTACTACAAATCCAGTAACAAATACAAATATTTTTTAGCTACTTTTTCTACATTACCAAACTGCTAGTAGAGGCCTAAAAATAAAATAAACCTACCTGTATCAGACTTTCCCAAGTAACAGTGTATATCACAATGTGCAACGGCTTCAAAATGGAGATCCCCCTGCAGAAAAACAATGCTTGAACATCTGACAAAGCAACACTGTAAATAAAAGAAATCTAGATACATTTAACCAATGAACATTAAAACTTTAATCAATCAAATTTATTCAAGAACAGAAAGCCTGAAACGTTGTAGCCCTTGTTTTGGATGAATGATACACCGCTGTATGATTCTGCATGAATGGAGGTTGGATTGAGCTCCCTTTGAAAATCTCACTCAGTAGATCCTTCCCATCCCTTATTCTAGGGGTGGCCAACCTGTGGCTCCGGAGCCACATGTGGCTCTTCAGAAGTTAATATGCGGCTCCTTGTAGAAGCACCGACGCCAGGACTGGAGCTACAGGCACCAACTTTCCAATGTATCGGCGGGTGCTCACTGCTCAACCCCTGGCTCTGCCACAGGCCTTGCCCCCACTCCATCCCTCCCGCTCCCTCCCCTTCTATGCCCTCGCTCCTCCCCTCTGAGCCTTCTGCACACCACAAAACAGTTGATCGGGAGGGGAGGCGCTGATCAGTGAGCAGGAGGTGCTGTGTCAAGGTTCCTTCCCCACTCTGAACTCTAGGGTACAGATGTGGGGACCTGCATGAAAGACCCCCTAAGCTTATTCTTACCAGCTTAGGTTAAAAACTTCCCCACGGTACAAATTTTTCCTTGTCCTTGAACAGTATGCTGCCGCCACCAAGCATTTTAAACAAACAGGGAAAGAGACCACTTGTAAAAGTCGTCCCCCAAAATATCCCCCCAAGCCCTACAACCTCTTTCCTGGGGAAGGCTTGGTAGGAATCCTCACCAATTGCTACAGGTGAACACAGACCCAAACCCTTGGATCTTAAGAACAATGAAAAATCAATCAGCTTCTTAAAAGAAGAACTTTAACTAAAGAAAAGGTAAAAGAATCACCTCTGTAAAATCAGGATGGTAAATACCTTACAGGTTTCCCTGTAGAATCCCTACAGAAACAGAGAGAATCCCTCTAGGCAAAACCTTAAGTTACAAAAAGACTCAAAAAGAGGAATATACATTCCCTCCAGCACAGCTTATTTTACAAGCCATTAAACAAAAGAAAATCTAATGCATTTTCTAGCTAGATTACTTACTAACTTTACAGGAGTTATAAGGCTGCATTCCTGATCCGATTTCCGGCAAAAGCATCACACAGACAGACCGACCCTCCCCCCACCTCCAGATTTGAAAGAATCTTGTCCCCTCATTGGCCATTTTGGGTCAGATGCCAGTGGGGTTACCTTAGCTTCTTAACCCCTTACAGGTGAAAGGATTTTGCCTCTGGCCAGGAGGGATTTTATAGCGCTGTATACAGAAAGGTGGTTACCCTTCCCTTTATATTTATGACACACTGGCTGCTCATGGGGGGCTGCTGATGTATTACTGTGGTTCTTTGGCAATGTACACTGGTAAATTCTGGCTCCTTCTCAGGCTCACGTTGGCCACCCCTGCCTTATTCTATGATTTACTATTCCAAAAAATCTAATACCTATTAATGAAGATTACTAGGCTCTAGAAACAGTAAGATCTAAAAACCCCAGGACCTTAATTAAGCTCCTTTGAGCATACATATGATACGATCTTTAATTACATAATCATATACTATTTTCCATTGGGCCCCTACTTCAATCAGTGCATAGGATATGGACATAGCAAAGGGAAGTATTAAGGTGGCATGGGCAACCATAAATCTGTCACTTCCCCACTTTTGAGCACCTGGTTTTGCCAGCTAAATAACGTTAACATAGTTTTTTGTATGCAATATACAAACAAGTCTGTGGAATACAATACCTTGGACAGAGTTGAATAAATCCGCAGAGGTATTGCAAACATCACTCCTACATTTGTAGCCAAAAATACATTGGAAAATACATTTATTACAGTGTCTTTGACACTGAGCTTCAAAGAAAATACATTCCAACAGCCTGGAGGTAGAGTCAAGGGTTCAGCGAAGTTCAGAATCTAGAAGGAAACAATCAGATCATATTGGTCAAAAATTGTGGGGGTTTTTAAAATCAAAACTGCAAGAATTATTTAAGTGTACTTTTGGATATGAATTATATATTTCTAAAGGTGATATTTGCTCCTAATTGTTTTGCTTCTACTATCATGAAATTCTTAACTTCTATACACACATACGTAAAAAACATTGGTCATGAGGGTAAACTATCAGGACACTAAAGTACCTTTTTAAATACAACTGCATTTGATTTTTAAAAATTCTAGGCACGTGCATTTGTACACCTAATTTATCTTTGAAACCTTTGTGATTTTACCGATGAATCTGGGATCTGAGTGCACAAATGGCTAATTCTATGCCTAGTTTGTCATTTGAGCATGCACACATCAGCGTTGTTTGTTCTAATGAAGCAATTACATGAAAAATTTTGCCTAAACTTCTAAAAATAAGGCCTCTCTTTTGTAAAATCTTTAATAACTTTGCACAAAGCTCATCCATTCACCAAAAGATTTCCAATATAGCCTATGAAGAGAGTTTCACTCCTAACATGTACCAATAGCATAAGCAGCAATTGTGAGAACATTTACTATGACAGGGCAAAATTCTGTACTTTAATGCACATGTACGACTGCCACTGCAGCCAGGATTTACTCTAACATATACTAAAACAATCACACCAAATAATGGACTGTAGTCTTCTGGGGCCTGATAAAGACACACAGCACTTTTCACCAACTCCCACCAAATTCAATATGAATTGAGGACACTCAGTTCCCCAAAGAACTTGCTCAGAATTTTGAAGGACTGAACCCTTTTACATTAAGGAAAAGACATTTATAGGATTCTAAAATAAAACTTACCTTTAAAATGTTCTTAGTCTCTCTGGCTACAAAGACATCATTTAGTTCAATGCTAAAATCAAAATTGTTTGTAAACCATATAGACCAAAATCCTGAAGTATTATGATGTGGCTCTATGTGAAATAATGCTGCAGCAGGGTCAACTCCAAAATACCTGTAGAAAAACACAGATTAAAAATGCATGGGTCCTTGAACATGGGAAGCCATTCAGACAGCCAGACAGATAAAAGTTTCACTGTTGGGAAACGAGTGTTTTTAAGGACTCTGGAGGAAGAACAAATTATTATATTAAAGATCAGAAGACAAAGCAACTCTAAGAGGGATGGATAGCTAGTCATACTTCTGTCTCGCTACTTTAGAGTACAATGCTGCCTAGTGCTTTCCCTCTTATAATGTGGTAGCTGTGATAACACTACTGAGTCAAGACTAGAAAAAATGTTCAATTTCCAGTTTTCCATTACAGTACTGTTCCTCTAAAGTAGGAAAAAGAGAGCTGTAAATTTATCTCAGATTCTAAATCAGGCCTATGCGACCGTAACTGTTTAGATTTCTTCTTACTGAATCTTGAAGGTTCACGTGTATGAAATACAAAACTATTATATGAGATGCCATGGGGTTTTATTTTGTTGAAAGACACAGCAACGATAGGCAGCAGTCTGTGCACTCGTGCTTAGTACCATTAAGTGAGAAAGTTAGCTTGCTTTGACTCTACAGCATACATTTGAGCACATTCTACAGTTTCCTTACAATTCTAGCGAATGTTTAAAAAAATCCCACAATCAACTTACCCTTCCGTCACAGGATGGGAAAGACATGCTTTTAGTGTTGCAGTGCCTTCTAATGGATTCATCTTCACATCACTAGTATAATGGATTTCATCGTCACACGACGCAGCTTTATAAAGGAAAAGTAAGCATATATATTTGAATAAAATCGCTGTAATAATAATGCTTTTCATGTGAGGATTTCAAAGATCTGTACAAAGGAAAGTCTGTATCAACAGCTCTATTTTACAGAGGGCAAAATCAAGGGATGTGAACGTTAATATTCTGATTTTTAGATGTGCTGAGTATTGACTTAAGACATTCATGGGTGCTCAGCACTTCAGAAAATCAGACCATAAAACTGATTTGTCCAAGATCAAACAGGGAGTCAGTGGCAGAGCTCAAGTCTCCTTACTCCCCGTCCGCTACCCTAGCTACTGAACCAAGCTGCTGCCCTCAAGAAATAAAAGGCATGCCTGGGAAAATAAAAAACTCACTCTACCCCTCTACCGCTTTCTTTGCCTGCTCTTTCTTAGAAGGATGAGTCCCACACTCATTATGAAGTAAATTCTTTGAGCAAATGTATTTTGTCGTCCCCATCACCACTCCCAAAACAGACAGACAAACAAAACAAAACACATGTTTTTATAAGAAGCGGAGGAAAGAATTTGGAAGCACTGATCAAAAGGGCGAAAGCATAACAAAAATGTGTAGAGCACTACAGAGTACATAAGTGACAAAGTTTGCACGACAACAGTGATCCAAGTCAGGGAAACTAAATAAGAATTTCAGTAATAATGCAGTAGATCAGCAGTTCTCAAACAGTGGGTCACGACCCTGTTTTAAAGAGGTCACCAGGGCTGGCATTAGACTTGCTGGAGCCCGGGGTCAAAGCCAAAGCCCGAACCCCACCACCCAGGGTCAAAGCCAAACCTCAAGGGCTTCAGCCCTGGATGGCAGGACTCAGGCTTCAGTCCCCCTTCCTGGGTCATGTAGTAATTGTGGTTGTCAGAAGGGGGTCACGGTGCAATGAGGTTTGAGAACCCCTGCAGTAGATCATCGACATGGCCTAGTGGTAAGAGCATGGGGCTGACTGGAAACAGCAACTTCTAAACATTAACCCTAGCTCTTCCACAAACATGCTTTGTTGACTCAGGCAATTCTCTCAAACTATCCTGACAAAAACTGCCATAAAAATGTACCACCCAAGCACAAAAGTGTACTATTTAAGATTTTTAAAATAAAAGAATCATCCAAATGATTAAAGGGAACCTAAAAGGTACATGCAACAAATGCTGACAATCAGCTGACAATCTTATTAGTCACCCACTCTCTCTTCCTGTTAATATTGCCTGTATTGAATCTATGATCAGGGGTGTGTGTATGTGGGGAGAGAGAGCGCACACGTGTGAGAGTTACAGAATGATACAAAATAGGATGGAAATAAAATAAGTACAAAGAATTCTTCCTCCTCCTAGCCCAGTATGTTTTAAGAGAGCAACGCTGCACAGATAAGTTTGTCTTGAGCCTTTTCAGAGTACCTTATAAGTACCTCGATATGTACCTCATGTAATCATATTATATACATAAAATATACATACTGTACCTTTGCAAACAATGGAAGCAACTTTTGTAAAATTTGTGGTTGAAGAAGGAAGTTGTATTGGCTCAAACTGCACAGATGATGTATCCTTCTGTGAGAAACGCTGTATGTCCTGCATTAAAATGATACATTACCAATCCCTGTAGCACTATTACCATTATTATTATATTTTTAGTATTTAATTCATCTTCTTGACAAACTTAGAAGGAACAGTCATTTATCGTATGTGATGAATAGTTTTGTGGCTTTTATTTCGGTTAACCGGTACATTAAAAATCATTATCTGAGCTGTTGTTTACAATCTACAAATGCTGCTGGACACATATACAAACTTAAATGTGGTAAATGCGTCTTAAAATAAAGAAGTGTGCTATCTGGCGACAGCAAAAAAGTAAGTAGTAAAGCTAGTTAACATCCTAATTAAATTCAATACCTCTGAATAGGATTGCATGAAGAACGTAATTACCTGTATCTGTAAAACGCTGTTCCCTGAATGCAATACATACATGTTTATTGTGGAATCATCTGTCCAAAAAAAATGAACATCCAGATAAGTACCAAAGATCAAAGTACTACTGCTTTGTCAGACAGTAATATGAGAAACAATATCAAACTTATTTAAATGAAAATTAGGAGATAGAATTATTCTATGTGAAAAAATGTCTCTTGTAAAAATTAGAAGTTAATCACACATTGGGCCTGACTCTCCTCTCACACCATTTTATGCTGGTGTAAATCCACCATGCCATATCTTTGGCCCTAATTCTGGGGGCAAAAATCAGCTGGAAAGCTGACATTATTACCAGCTCCTAAATTCCCAGCTGGCACACAGCCCTATCCACAGAGCCAGCATAGCCTCCCTTTTTCCAGGCCATGGTATAGGGTAGCCCATAGAGATAGGTATTTGCCAAGTAAGACGGGGTATTAAGTTAAGGCAGAACCATTACAAGGCCTGTAAAACAATAGCTTAGGTAACAAAGCATAAGGCCCAAAAGCCTTAGCATACACAGTTAACTAGGAGTAACCCTAGATTATAAAAGAGACAAGACAGAATGCAGTAATAACTAAACTGCTGACAGGTAACCACAAGATGCCAATTCATACCAGCTTGGGATATTTTAAGTAAGGTACATTAGCAGAGGTCTGACCACAAGAGTACCATGGTAATTAACAAGCTTGAAATAAACAGGCTAGTAACCTATGGGAGAAAGGCACCCCAACATTAGTAGGGTGAGGAAATACACATAAGGAAAAGAGGAGAAACCTCTACTGTGAATACGCATTAGGCATAGTGGCAGTTTAACACATTATAAAAGTTGCATCCTGACCTGTGTGGGAGATGTAACTCTTGGGAGACCCCAGGGTGGTGACCACTGGCAATGATGGTGAGTCTGATGATGAGGATGATAACAAACACTTCAGGTCCTTTTGCAAGGGACGGTGTGAATATATGGATGCTCAGAGACACATTTTGAATTATCTCTATCCACCTTGCTGGTCTGGAGTGTTTGTAACTTTTCTCACTACGTTAATAAAACTATTACAAACACAGAAGGTTCTTCCGATGTGTGAAAGTTGTAACCATGCACATCGGGGTTCCCAACTGAACAGTAATTTTAATAGTGGGCATGACCTTGGGACAATAACCTATCAAGTCTCAAAGTGCTGGGAATTCTTAAGTAATCAAAATAATTAATCCAAAATCAAAAGATCAACAAACAATAGGAAGTATGGCTGTGGGAGAGGTGTGTGGCTAAAACTGCACTAAGTTACTGTAGGAGCCAAAGTGATCCCAAGATCAGGGAGCCACAAATGTGCTATAAAGCCTCCTTTGCACACACACATACATGAACATACACCCCAAATTTGCAGGCCACAGAACACATGATCTGGCTTACTGACTTGAACAGAGTTACTCTCGATTCACATTGGTGTAGTGAGAAGAGACGCAGACTCCAAGTCTCTCTTACTTAAGCACATCAACATAAAGAAAACTAACAAAGATTATTATCTGAAGTTGAAAAGCTGCCCACAGGAACCATCAAGGCAAAAGACCTATAACTTCCCACTGCCAGCATCATAAAGGAATTATGATGGGCCTTTACCCTAGTGTATAGGGATTTATGATTTGCATTATATTGAGGAAGCGTGTAGCTTTTTAAAATGCTCTTCTATCACCTGAATCCATTAAAAAGGATGTTACAGCCATACCCCTGGACATGACAGATGTGAACATTTATCCACAAGTGTAAGAATAAGTATGCTTCCACAAGTCAGTGCAGCAAAACACTGCTATCTCAGATGTGAGGGGAAATAGATTTACTGTGGACATATCAGCTCCATCAGTCAAATGTAAGTATCACTCCACTAAACTACCAACGCTTCCAACCACACAGCAGGCTCTGGAAGAACAATAAATGCGTTTTGCACCCAGACCTTGAAATATAGTAAAAACGATAAGTGAATCATTTATCTGTTTTCACAAGTTGTTTTTTCTTCTAGCAGACAGTACAACTGGCAGAAAACCTTATTTTTGTTCTAATGTCCCAAAAAACCTAAACAATTATAAAGGTGGTGATGCGCTATAAATAATTAAAAATCAAGGATATCTAATCCCTTGGATTTGAAGAAAAATTACCTATTTACCCAACAAACGTATGATGCAAAAAATGTATGTAGATGGTTACTTCGCTTGTGGAATTCTAGCCTCCAAAAATGATGTTATGAAGATCCTTTGTATTATATTATCACAGTAATTTCCACAATGCCTGCTCTTTCTAGGTCCTGATTTCTTTGCAGGTCTAGTTCTGTTAATCTAATTCCTTGGAAATTTGAATACTACAGTTTTCATCAATTGCACTTTTGCTGAAAGGTGAAAACAAAAGCAAACACCACCACCACTACCCATTTTGTGCTATTTAAACAGACACCTAAGAAAAGGACATTTCTGTTCCATACACAAATCTTAAGGGAAAAAGAAAAGAATGTCACAGATGTAGTTTACAACTGCAGATGGATGCTACCTCTTTCATTAAGAAACACCACCACAGTAATTCTACATTAAACACAAAATGTCAAACCGTTTCATTTCACTAATCTGGCCTTCTCATTAAACAGCAAAATAAAGAGGATGTCACTGAGATCAATATATTGGTGTATACCAGATTCTGAAGTGTATATAAAAGCAATTTCTATTAAAATTAACAGTCACGTCTTGGATTTACCTGAGGTCTCAGTTTTGTCCATTGCTACATAAACTACAAAAAGATTCTCCAGTAAGTACTGTCTGTGATCCACAAATTCTTGCTGGGAGTTTTCCATTCTTAGTACTAATCTCATTTTTAGCAGCACTGGATCGTCAGACATAAAACAGCAACTCTGGAGTGACAAAGGAGGAAAAAAGGAGGGGAAATTTCATAAAATAATCCAATTAGAATAAAACATACTGAATTGATGGTCTCAGCCAATTTCTAATGGACAAACGTTCTATGCACATCAAAGGTACCAATCCCGGGGCAGTAATTAGAACTTTTGATGGAATTCTCAGTAGAGGCAGAGAACTACACAGGTACAGAAAGCAAATTCCACCCGAATAGGCACTTTCGGGGGGCAACGTGGGGAAGCCTTCCCCAGCAACACTGCACCTCTTTCTGGATAAACAGAAGATTGCAGTCTGCAGGGCGCATTCAGCAAACACTCAGTTCACACACACACCTACTCAAAAAAGTAAAACCAAAGCATAGCACAATGGGGTCCTGGTCCATGATTTGGACTCCGAGGTGCCACAGTAATACAAGTGATAAATAATAAAAAAACATTAAAACAACATTAAGGGTTAAGCCTCAAAAGAATCCAGTAACAGTAGTTTCAACTGGAAGGTTTGGCCTTAGGACTGTAAAACATTTTCATTTGTAAAATCCTTCACTCTGAATAAGGTGTACTATAAACAGACTAGGGGAATAAATTCCAAAGGTGAGGAACCTTCAAATGTGCAACAAAGAGTGTCCAAGTTCAGGGATTGAGAGAAAGAGCACTCAGCTGACCTTAAATAGTATGGTGAAGTATAAGGTAAGAGACGCAATCTGGATCCCAGACTTCTCACAGCTGTGAGATTCCAAAAGATAGAAGTGGAAAACATCCAAAATAGTTATATAAATAGTATTCTATTATTGTTTAATAGTGTGATTAATTTTTTTAATCGCTTGACAATACTTTGCAATGCCAGCTACAAAAGTGCCATGCAAACGTCTGTTCTCACTTTCAGGTGACACTGTAAATAAGAAGCGGGTAGCATTATCTCCTGCAAATGTAAACAAACTTGTTTCTCTTAGCAATTGGCTGAATAAGAAGTAGGACTGAGTTGACTTGTAGGCTCTAAAGCTTTACATGGTTTTGGTTTTGAGTGCAGTTATGTAACCTAAATTAATAAATAAATAAAAATCTGCATTTGTAAATTGCGCTTTCATGATAAAGAGATTGAACTATGGTACTTGTATGAGGTGAACTGAATAATACTATTTTTGTTTATCATTTTTTCAGTGCAAATATTTGTAATAAAAATAATATAATGTGAGCACTGTACATTTTGCATTCTGTGTTGTAACTGAAATCAACATATTTGAAAATGTGGAAAAATACCCAAAATATTGAATACATTTCAATTGGTATTTTATTGTTTAGTAGTGCGATTAAAACTGTGACTAATCGCGACTAATTTTTTTTTAAGTTAATCAGATGAGTTAACTGTGATTAATTGACAGCCCTAATGTTTATACCTAAAACCCTGGTCAATGTTCCATTACAATGAAATGTATATGTCATACCTTGAGTTGTTGGCACACATTGTTATGTAAACTGCATTCAAGATGAACTTGTAAGAGACTGTCATTTGTAGTTTTTGCCTAGAAAAGTAAAAACGAAGACAACAGTTCAAAGAGTTTGATTTAACAGATTCTATCCAGTCAAATTAGGCCCAAAGTTTACATTTTGTAACTTTTTGTAAGGCCAATTAAAAACTATTCCCATTACTTTTCTATTGAGATTCCAAAAGATACAGTGTTTTTTCTCCAAAATGTAGGCTTTTGAAAGCTAAGCTTTTACACAAAATCTAACATTTTCATTTGTTTTTAAAATCCATAAATCTAAATCACTGGTTTTAGATACATGTTTTTGTGCAATACATGACACCCAAAGATTGCATCACTGAGAACCTCCAGGTGAAAACTGACTATAAATGAGTGTGAAATTGACTTCATTATTTTCATTGTACTAGTTGAAGGAAACGCAAAAGGCAAACCAACAAAATAGCAAAAAACAAATGGCAATGTTGTCAATTCTTTCAATTTCAATAAAATGTAATCCCGGACAGTAACATCAGCAAGGTGATAAGTTTAAAAAAAAATTATTTTTTTTAATTTGACTATTATTTTAGGGTAACATGGCTGCCAACCGTCACTGCTCAATGAGAAACTGTATCATTTCCACTCCTACTTCCATGTCAAACTATTATTATTATTATTATTAAACATTTTATACAGTAGCAACATATGATGAACTCTTATAAATCTTAAGCTCCTACTCGATTTTCTCCTATAATGCTTTTTTTACATATAATAAAGGCTTCCTTCCTCATCTTCCTGCGTATTTTCTTTGCTGCTTGTAAAGCAGCATATTTGAAAACCTGCTGGGAGGCTAAATTAGTGGTTAGATTTCCTGGATGCAGCCCTGACATTCAGGCCTCACACCAAAGCAAAGAAATAAACTACCACCACCACCAAGAAATGATTTTCTGTTGCTTCACCTTTTTATCCATTTGAAAGAAAAAAATGAATGTGTTTATTTTGCCAGCTTCTAAAATGTTCATGCAGGAGCACTGTCTAAAGCCAGATATAATGCATGCAAACCATGTAAAATATTGTCATACATAATTTGTCATACTAACAATCCATAATAGTTCTGTGCTTCTCCTCATCAGTGATGGTCAATTATGCCAACTTACATGATGGTTTGGGGACTAATTTAAGATCACAGTCAGTCAATTTTTCAGTTTTGACCTCACTCAAATGTGAATCAAGGTCTGCAAAGGTGCAAGGAGCCAGTGTAATCTACTAGATCCTTCCCTTTAAAAAAACTGAAATAATTTGAAGTTGAAAGAGGCAGAACTGTGAAAAATGTTAAAAGTTGCCATAACCTAATGCATATTTTTGTCTCTGATGAGCTTTTGTATAAAAACCTCACAGGAAATTTATTACATTATTTGCTCAGGGAAGAGACATGCATTTAAAATCCTGAAAGAAATACGATCAGAAGGAGACACTTTGAAGCCTTTTTCTACTGATAAGGTGGTGGTTTTATCACACAGTAAATTCACACCATGCATAATGCTTCTAATGTAATATGTGACTGCGTAGAGCACAACAAAACAAAAAGTCAACATGCTTTCTTTGGTATTAACTCAATTTATATAGCAAATATTGCAGAATCCCACAAGGGGGAGTTCTAACACCTCCAGAGTTTAATCGCATAATTTAAAAAAACATTTCAAAAAAGCCTCCTTTTCTAGCACAGCAGCACTCTTGAGGAATGGGAGTCTCAAACAATTCACCTCTTTTTGCAATTTCACTTTTTTTTGTCCTAATCAAATTATGCAAGTAGATCAAGCTCTCAAATCCAATATATGCACCATTAACCTTCCACAGCTATTACTGGCAGTGGGGTTTCAACAAGACAATGGGCTTATGTGAGCAGACCACTTACAAGTCAGCTAATTGGTCTGATAAACCTTATCCAACTTGGATTTCCCTTCTGAACCTTCCTGGAAAGAACTATATTTTTTTTCACTAGCCTATACATCACTACTTTATGTATTCTTTTCCTGTGCTCAAAGTGCTTAAGACTCCTTCAGATTTTCTCCACATAAAGGTCATCTAAATGTAATACTCTGAGTCAAGTTTTTCTATAGCTTTTTTTGAACTACTTCTCTCTCTACTTGGAGTAAAGACTATTCTGTCTCTTAGTCATATATCTGCTACTTTGGAGGCTTTTCATGTCATGTTCCATTTCTCATGTCTCCTCTCCATTACGTATCAAATGTGGTTTAACAACTTCTTATAGGATGAAGTTTATCCTAAACCCTTAAATCAGGGATTAGGTGATGAGGAAAGCCTTATGAAAGCCCTACGTGCGTTGAGAAAATTTCATTCCTAATAGGAGTAGGATTCACAAGATGATTTGCTATTGTCCCAGATTTTTGGTCTGTAACAGGGTGCTGGCTAGGTGATCCAAGCCAGGCCCCTGTTAGCCCAACTCCAGTTAAAAAGGGAGTCAATTAGGGCTGGCCAGGGAGGCCACGCCCTAATCACCTGAGCAGCTACACCTGCGGGCCTGAGCAGCCAGCCTGCTATATAAAGCTGGCTGGGAGGAAGCAAAGGGGAGACGGAAAGGGAGGAGCAACAGGCTCTAGATCCCAGCTAGCAGGAGAAGCTAGCGGTCTCCCAGGGTATTGGTCTGTAAGATATGTAAATAGTAGGTGGAGGGAACAGACATGAACAATAAGAGGACACTGGTGCATGTACTTTGGAGAGGTCTCCGACTGAGTTTGTGGAGGGGCCGAGGAAGGCATTGTTACACGGTCGTAATGACTTGACCTGTCAATGGAGTTTTATTCCCCCAACTTTTATGGTGATTACTATATTTCTGAGTTTCACTCTGTCCAGTCTAGATTTTAAATGCCTTAGAGCAGGGAATTTCTGCCTTCCTTTTGTTGCCCACAATTGCTAGGAGCACAGTAGTCAAGTAGCCAATCTGGTGCACCAGTTGACCAATCCCAATCATAATAGTTTTGTTTTGAATGTCCCGGATGCTGTAATTTGTTATTTTAAAAGAGTGAAGCCACTAAAGGGAAAAAAAATTCCAACACACCACCTGTATTTTATGTTCACCTGCTGTCTATAGGGATTTTTTAAATGTACAAAGATAACTTCAGAAAAGAAAAGGGTTCTTCATTCTGCTATGACAGACAATATACATCGTGTGTCAAGCCAAGTGTCTTACATAATTGACAGGATGCATATATCACAGAAGTGAGGACAAAATAAGGAATCTTAGAATCAGTACACTGTCAAAAGCAGAGCTTCCATGAAAAAAACCTTCATCTGCTGTTCTTGATTGTGTAAGTATTCTGTCCTATAACACAGAAAACTGCTACGGCATGTGAATCATAGCAGAATGTGAAATTATACAGTGCCTTGTTCTCATAAGAAGCAAAATGAAAAAGCAAAAACCCGTGTCAAAAAGATCTAGAATGAGCCCTGTGTGACACAGATAATAGAACCAGTTTGATTCCCTTCACAAATCTGCAGTAGCTTCTCTATATATTTTATACTGAGAATACACACACACACACACACACACAACTTCAGCTCAATGGTTTTTCATCAGGATTTGCCAAAGTCAAACAATTCTGTGGATATGTTTAATTTTGACAAAATTCTGTCAGACACCAGACAGGGTTCCAATGAAAACCTGTCTGGTTTCCTACCAGCATGCCATGCCTGCCTGGCTCCTGAGCAGCACACATGATGGGCTGATGGAACGCCCTGGGAGTCCCGGCTCCCAAGCTCTTAGGCTTACAGCTCTTCAGCAGCTTGGGATCATGGGCAGCCTGCCGGGCGAGGTGCCTCAGAGTCAGGACTTCCAGTAGGACTGGGTGGAAAATGGTAATTCCCTTTCAGGGAGAATTCTGAAACTTTTGGTTTTCTTTCTGAATTGAAAAGAAATCAAATCTTGAAATCTTCCCTGAAACAGAATTACCATTCTCCATTCATCTCTAACACACACACATGCAAACAAATATTAAAATCAACCTGGACTTTAATACAGGGCCATTATACTTTTGGATATTCTAAGCTTCCCATCAGTCTGTAAAAATGTAACTAGGGACTATTTCATCTCATTAATTACTGTGGGTGAAAGGGGCAATTATGAATGTTTGATTAAGTGGTTTGCTATTATGGACATTTTGTTTTGCTCTGAAAATTGTACTGAACATACAGGGATAGTAAATATAAAAAAGGGTAAAAATCGTCCTATAAGCAAGAAGCAGTTGGTTTGATAATAAAGATAATTTCCAAGAAAAACCTCAGTTTACTAAAAAGAACATTTTTAATGGCAAGATTAATGGGAAAGCAGGTAGGGGGACAGAGGGAGAGGAAGAGGAGTGCAGGGGTGGGAATAGAGGAAGAATGCTAATTTCTCAAAGGGAGAAAAGAACTGAGTAAGAGTCAAAATTACTACAAATCTTCAAGTCACTTCTTGGTTTGCACCAAGTAGAGATGGTGCAGAAATAGAAACCTTTAAAGAAAGAACAACAGATTGGACCAACTGACCTACTAGGTTCCCTTTCCAGCATAAAAGTTCAAGGATTCTACTTCATATTACTACATTCTGATCATTCATTAAAAACAAACAAAAAACCAGTCTGGTGGTTCTGAGTAATAATCATCATCAGTGAAGCATACTTTTACCCATCCAAACAGAGAAAACATCACAGACTGTTGGCTGGATTGTTTTCAAAATATTGTTCAACCAGCACCAGAGCGGTTGTGTGAAGCTTGAGAGTAATTTCCCTCTATGTCCACAACCCAGCCTAGATAGGGCCTCAATAAGACTGATTCTGCAAACATTTGCACAGAGGTGTGCTTGCTGGATCAGGGTTGTACTGTGCAAACTCCCTCCCTCTGAGGAGTTTAGCTTTAATAGTCAATAAAACAATACTATACAATTAGCCTCCTCTGTGATCTTGGCTGCAACTGCGACTTTCCTCCAGGATTTCCTCAGTCTTAAATCCCTAGTTCCCTATTCCCAAAGAGCTATTCCCTAGACACACACACCCCTCTCCCCCTCTCACAGTGACTAAGGCTATGTTTTAATCATGCAAAAAGAAAAGGAGTACTTGTGGCACCTTAGAGACTAACAAATTTATTTGAGTATAAGCTTTTGTGAGCTACAGCTCACTTCATCGGATGCATTCAGTGACTTTCCACTTAGTCTCTAAGGTGCCACAAGTCCTCCTTTTCTTTTTGCGGATATAGACTAACACGGCTGCTACTCGGAAACCTGTTTTAATCATGGTTATTTTTAGTAAAAGTCAAGGACAGGTCACCGTAAACAAAAATTCACAGGCCTTTGACCTGTCCATGACTTTTATGAAAAACCTGCCCTGACTAAAACTTGGGAGGGAACCACTGGTGCTCGGGGGGGTGGGGAGGGGATGGAAAAGGTCCGGGGGCGCCACTGGTACTGGGGGAGGGGTGGGGGTTGGCGTGGCTTCCTATCCCGCTCCGTGTCCCCGCAGCTCCTAGGCACCGTCCCAGAATGATGTTTGCTTTTTGGCAACTGTGTTGCACTATTCACTCATATTTAACTTGTGATCCACTATGACCCCCAGATCCTTTTTCGCAGTACTCCTTCCGAGGCAGTCATTTCCCATTTGGTATGTGTGCAACTGATTGTTCCTTCCTAAGGAGAGTACTTTGCACTTGTCTTTATTGAATTGCATCCTATTTTCTTCAGATCATTTCTCCAGTTTGTCCAGATCATTTTCAATCTTAATCTCATCCTCCAAAGCACTTGCAACCCCTTCCGGCTTGGCATCATCCGAAAACTTTGTAAGCGTACTCTCTATGCCATTATCTAAATCACTGATGAAGATACTGAACAGAACTGGACTCAGAACTGATCCCTGAGGAACCCCACTTGATACGCCCTTCCAGCTTGACTGTGAACCACCTATAACTACTCTCTGGGAATGGCCTTCCTACCAGTTATGTACTCACCTTATAGTAGCTCCATCTAGGTAGTATTTCCCTAGTTTGTTTATGAGAAGGTCATACACGACAGTATCAAAAGCCTTACTAAAGTCAAGATATACCACATCCCCCCACCCACAAGGCTTGTTACCCTGTCAAAGAAAGAACTAGGTTGGTCTGACACGATTTGTTCTTAACAAATCCATGCTGACTGTTACTTATCACCTTATTATCTTCTAGGTGTTTGGAAATTGATTTCTTAATTATTTAACGCTATTATCTATCTGGGAACTTAAGTTAAGCTGATTAGTCTGTAATTCCCCGGGTTGTCCTTATTTCCTTTTTTTACAGGTGGACATCTACATAGCCTGAAAGAATTCCTAAGGAGGAAGAAGTTGTAAGGCCTCAGATTATTTTGGGACCTGTTAGAGAAGTTTAAGCTGCGTAAGCTGCTTTGACTACTGTGAAACTCCAAAAAACTCCCTAAAAAATACACACACTGTGTATAAACTGGGGGGCAGGGGAGAACGGTGCAAGATGTAATATGACAAACCTAAGAGAGCATAGTGTCCCCTGCTCACTCAGTCAAAGTAGTGGACTTGGCTCACTCTATGTCTGAACTAAGCAGAGTGAGTTGAATCCCACAGCTACCTGACCCTGCACATACATTCACGATTTAAAGTAAAACTGAGAATGAGGTGGACTGACTTCCTAAATTCAGAACGGCCCTGCCCAAATCAGAAGACTGAAAGTCCAGAAGAAAAAGTCACAGGCACAAGCAAACCACAGAAGGAAAGTCACATTTTTAAACAAGAGGAGGGGGGAGAGGGAGGGCAGGGTTGGTTTTCTGTGTTTTTTTTTTTAATTAAAAATACAGATTTGCTTTAAAATGGGGGATGAAGTATAGTTTTAAAAAAAAAGGGGTGGGGGGCGGCGCGGGACTTTATTAATGTCCATACTGTCATGCCTCTTCCCCAGGAAGCTGCTGATCCCCCTCTCCCTTCTACACACCCTGCCTACAGGTTTCTGCTGTCTTTCCTTTCCATCTTCCACCCTGGGAGTCTCCCCTTCCCTCCGTAGCTGCTGTCTCTGTTGACAGCTACTCCCATTCTCCTCTCTTTGGAAACGGATTATGCTAAACCAGCAAAACATATTCTGATTCCAGAATAAGAGTATCTACACATGGGAGTTTTTCTGGAATTGCTATTCTTCTTTAAATTCACACCGTTTTATTCTGGAATAAAGGTCATGTGTACACAAGCTCTAAAGTAAGAGACAATGGGTCTGACCCTCGAATGCCTTGAATTCCTTCAAAGCAAGTGCAGTGTGTGTGCAAACGGTCACCATTCTGATACAGCAGCATTTTATTCAAACTTTATGTAGGCACAAATAATTACACAAGGTTCAAAGCAATGGCAAATAGGCCAATAACTTTTTAAAATCTCTGTGGGCTTATTTTATACATTATTAACATGCAGAAAAGGTCACAAATACAATTTTTTGAACTCTGCAGGTCACCTTTAAATTAATAACTATTCTAGGGAGCTTTCACCCCAATTGTAGGCACCATGGTTAAAAAAGTTTAATCAAGCTGTAAATAAACAAACAAAGGTAACCATATAAACAACTGTTCATGCCAATTTTTTAATTTAAACTTTACCTCCCCCCATTTTGTAATTCCTACCATAACACTACTATCCCACTGCACAAAAACCAGACAATGAGACTGTTAAGAGAAAGTAAGATTGACCAGTAAGATTCACCCTCATACAACGTGAAATGTAAAAATCTTTTAAAAAACGCATCTCAAGTGATGCAACTTGCAGTCAATTTCTGAAAAAAATTCGTTTGTTAAAAACATACGTAAAGATTTTTTTAATATGTTTTTATTTGCATACCTGAAAATAAAAATACAAGTTCCTGTATTTCTAAGTTTATTAATGTTGTGTTTTTAAAAAAACGCATACTGTACCAGTGTTGGTGAAATCCGGATGTTTTGGATACTTGGAAGCAGTAAACAGGTATTCGCTAGCTGCTTGTTAGAATCTTCTGGAGAGGTTTCCATAGATCCCATTCCAAATACCTGTTGTAAAAACAGTACATTATTCCAACATTTGATATTTAGGTAATTATCACAAACCATGAAACTTCATTTTGTTAGTAAGACTCCAAGAAATCAACTAGTTTTTAAAATTACACTTCAAAAACAAAAGGTAACGCAGCATTTTGTGCAGAGAGTTCTACTCTAAAAAGTAATGACAGGTCTCTCTGTGCATTCATTCATTCAGACATTATGATGTACCCCTAATAAAAGGGCACCCATCAATGCAACATAAGTGTCTCCAAACAATTTAAAAAAAAAGCAAATTCTCTGTCTTTCAGGCAATTTTAATCGACACATCATATACGTGGATGTTGCTGCTGCTTCTTGTGAACTGCACCACGATATCAGACACCTCCAGCCAACAACTCTTCTATCAAAAAGAACATTTAGGGAGAACACACATTTCATGCCTTCTTTACACAGAAAGCAGCAAAAGAGGGAACTTGTTTTAAAAATTCCATGTCATCTTTAAAATGTATCATTAGACTTTGCTGTTCACAGACCACTGAGAAGAACGGCATGGGGAATGAGTGAGTTCATACTTTTACTACTGATATTTGGCTGAACACAGTTTTCTTCAACGCCGCGTTAGCAGAGCAGGAGCACACTGCATGCAATGTTGTATCTTCACAACAGAATAAGACTTTTTAAAACAAGCTTAATATCTGCAGAGAAATGCAGAATGGAATAAAAACATGAGGGGATCATACAGCTGCAAGAGTTGAATTTTTCTGCATCTGGGATAATCCTCTGCCCCTAATATTAAGTCAGGTTTTATTTAAAGATGAATTTGCTGATTGTGTTTCAATAAGGTATTTATAGTTTCCTTTATCCAGCCTGTACATCAGAGCCAACCCATCAGCAGCCCCCAAACCTACATGGACCATAGAAAGCAAAATGTGAAGTTCTCCTCACCCCCAGTGATGTCACAGGAGGGCAGAGGGTTCATTAGTCTCTTCTAAAATCTTAGGTGCACACTGAACATGTTGAGAAGTGACTTTTCAATCTCTTATATTGCTTTCTTATTCCTCACCCCCCCCAAAACTTTTTTCAGTGAAGAGCCACATGCTAACTTTGAAATGTATTTTGATTACTGGTGCAAAGAGATGTTTTTGCTATACACCTCTACCCTGATATAATGCAGTCCTCAGGAGACAAAAATATCTCACCGCATTATAGGTGACCGCGTTATATCGAACTTGCTTTGACCCCCCCGTTCTCTGTTCCATGACCGCCCCCTCCAGAGACCCCCATCCCTAATCACCCCCAGAACCCCAACGCTACTGCTCTGACCCCTATCCACACACCCCCGCCCCCTGACAGGTACTCAGCAGCAGCAAGCGGGGCAACGCGGCCCCAGCCCATTCCACTCCGCCATCTCCCAGCCACGGCCCTCTCTGCTTTCCTTGCCCCAGCCCCAGCCATGTCGCTGGGGGGGGGTGGGGGAAGGGGGAAGGAGAGAGGTCCTGCATTCACCTGTGGCAGGAAGCGGAGCGCCGCGGCTGGGAGCTGGGGCCGGGCTGCTCCGCTTCCGGTGAGTGCAGGGGGGGATCCCTGAGCTCCCCTGAGCGACACGGCTGGGGCCGGGGCAAGGGAAGTGGAGCGGGCTGCTCTCAGCCCCCCGCTAATTCCCCGGGCCACTCTGGTACTGCGGAGCCCCCAAAAGTGCCCCTCCCAGAGCTCCTACCTCCCAGACCCTTGGGGGTGGGGGGAAAGCCCCTGACCACCCCCGAGACCCTGTGCCCCTTATCCAGCGCCCTGGCTCCCTTAACACGCTGCTCAGAGCAGCGTGTCGGAGCTTTACCACGTTGTATGCAAACCCACGTTATATTGAGGTAGAGGTGTATTTTAAGGTTAAAAAAAGTATACTCATCCTCGTTTTCCCATAACTCAAAATTATAGTAATGGATTTTCCACAAGGAACATTTAAAAAAATTTTTTTTACATACTCACTGAAATATAAACAGGGTATAGGAACATCAAATGTGTTTTATATCCTTCATGCTGTCACAGTGCATCATAACGCCTCCTGCACCACAGAAGTTATGCCTACCCTAGAGTTTGTGGCCCTGTTATAACTGGAGTTAAAGCTCTTACTTTATTCTCTTAAAGATGACGGCTGTAAAAATCTTTTCAGACTGGTAAAATCTTGCTGTAAGTTAGTAGCTCCACTGAAATTTGTATGTTACAACCAGGAATGAATTTGGTTTAATACATTCAGCCTAAGTGGTGAGTGAAATGACTGACCATTTTATAAAACACCTTCCTACAACTTGTCCACAAAAGGACAAGGTGAAATGAGATGTATGAAGAGCAACAAGCCAAATGAATGGGAAGAGAAGCTGGACAAAAAAGTGAGATGATAAAATCAGCATATAGTATATTGTTCTTCTAGTTTCCCTAAAAAAAAAAAAAAAACCCCAACCACAGTTCTGAGCCTCTACCCATGCCACACACCAATAATGTGCATTATCAGGTATATTTTTCAAGTTAGTTGTCCTACATCTCATTTTGAGACTTCTTTCCTATTGCAGTCTCAGGATGAGGGAGTGGGCAATGTGGTTCAAGTTGGTGTTCTTTTTTTAAATAATGGCAGAAAAGAATTTAAAAATTAATCAAAATGCAAAAAGAAAAACCCCGCAAATATGTAACTTCCCCTTTAAAATATTTTAATGTCAAATAAGTTAAGAAATTTGTGGTGAATTCTTCAGGTAACCAGATTAAGAGGAGCCTTCCGGTCACCAACCATCGCTTACCCTTTTGTTTTATTTTTCAAGAAGCCTAAAACTGCTAAGATTTACCCCTTCCACCCTGTGAGACTCCACTGCATCTATTCACAAAAGAACCCCATTGTAGCTCGAAGATCACCTACACAGGACTCAGTAAGTCTGTTTCCTAAACACTTCTAATTTATGTTACATCCCAGCATAGTGCATGCTATGCTGCCACACGGTGTAGAAGCAGCTATCTGTGGCAGGTGGGCATGGACCCCAATCCTACAAACACACATGTGCTTAACTGTATTACTATGAGTAGCCCCAGTAATGAGAGTAACTGCATACAGTTGATAGTAACTGCCCAGTAAGTGCATACGTAAGTGTTTTTAGGACCAGGGCCTTAGTCAATGGCAAACTTTGCTCCCTTCATCCTGGTTATGTCAGGAATTCAACATATTTTCAAAATTAGATTTTTAAGTTAATGTCTTTAGATGTCATTTTTGAAGCACGCATCAAGTGAAAAGTTACCTGATATGAAAGTACTCCATGAGATGAGGTATTTATAAATAATGAACTTTCAATACTGCCTTCCTCTGTTGGCAGAAAGAGGACTCTGAAAGAAATTTTTCCCATTGCTGGAATCACCTAAAGAGACAACATAAAAGCCTGCTGCTCAATACAGCCAATTGCAGCTCCTTCCCTTTGACTTCATCTATCATCAGACCTTTCTATACATGAATCCAGTTGCATGAACCCCACAAATGCTGGGCCCCCTCCTGCCAGGTACTGAGCACACTCAACTCCCAATAAAGACAAGAACTGAGAGCACTCAGCAGTGTGCAGTGTTGAGCCCAGAATTTTTAGAATATCAAATGGTCACTTTGGATTTTTTAACAGAACGATCTAAAAGCTTGTCCACCTACACAATACCGATGTCCAAGAACTTTTCAGCCCAACAATCAGTTCTCTGTAGTTCAGTACATACTGTGAAGTGAACCAATGCATGAGCTACATGATGCTTAATGAACTGAGTCACAGTTAAGGCTGGGCATACAGTTTGGCAACTAAATCTGAGCCTAATTCATAAAAGCAGGATCAAGTTTATGTCTGGAAAATTCTAACTCGTCCCCATTTATGTGAGCCAAGTTCAAGCTTATTTGCTGAACCATTCATCCAGCCCTAGTCAAAATGCTGATTGGATATAAGCAAACGGTGGAAAAAATACCAGCATACCAGAAGAGGGTGAAATATGGGCTTTGTCAAATTGTGAGCACCGCAGTGTACTTTTTACATACTTTAAATGTTCTTAAGCTTCACAAAGAGAGTTTTAATTAAACAATTATCTTGAAGTTTGTTATTTTTATAACTGCAATCCAAAATCTTTAAAAAGCATTGTATTGTAAATCTCCTTTATAAGGAACATACAGGACTATACTCAAGAGATTGAGAATCCAAGGCTATAAATAGCTTAAGGCCTTTCAACTACTGAACTCCACAGAAGCACTATGGTACATACAGTAGAGTGGGATTTAACCATCTTAACAATGACAAATTCTTTCCTTTCTCAGCCATCATAAAATGAGCCTCTCTTATTGTAGGAGGTTGGATTCCCCCCCCCCCTCCCCGTCCAGGTATAAAAGTGAAACAAAAACACAAGCTAACAAACACAGAGAAAGAATGAGTTGGGGTGGGGGTAGCATGGAAAAAGAGCACAGAACAAAAACTTTAGGCCAAAATAAACATGAAGTTTTGGCACACCGCCACTACATAGTTTCCAAGAGTACATCAACACTCACCCTGCTATGAACAGGAGATACATGAAAATGTCTAGTAGCTGTAAACACTGAATTCACTACAACTTCTCTATCCCTACTAGGGTTGTAAGCATACAGCATTTTAGATCTGGGCAGTCCCAGTAACCTAAGGGAAAAAAACAAAGTATTACTGATTTTATAAACATTGGTAATTTGCAAGAAAAATCAACACATTTTGGTGCTATTAAAACGTTTTGATATGTAACAATTTGTCAGCTTAATGTATTTGAAGATTATGCAACCCAGAATTTGACCCTTTAAAATATAAAGAAAAATAAACGACATTGAAACTTATCGGTTACACATAGCAAAAACCACATACAGTCACTAACAGTTTGTGAAACATTATATACAGAGTGGTCAGGCTGGGTTGTTTTTTACTTGCTGGGTACAGATTTTTGAGGAAACTAATAAATTATGTTTAAGAGAAGTAAAAGTCTTGCTTGGTCAGTTGACAAAATGATTCTTTTAGGCCATATATTTTTGGTAAGAAGTTTGAAAGCTGTTTCTGATGCAGACATTCTCTGCTTCTTCTAGAACATTCCTTTAGCTCACAAGGGGATTGTGCTTTTTGGTAATTGATGGGATAAAACTGCTAATCATTCTGTAAAAGCTTTCCTCTCGCCAAAACTTAAGCAGCACAGAAACCCTTACAGATTCTAGCAATGTTTGTTTTTTCAGAGATTTGATTTAAGTGTTAGTCTTGTCCGATAACAAGCCCACTCCCAGATCTACTGAGACAACTTATCTCATTAAGAGGCCATCCAATGGTAAGAACCCATTTGGTACAGCTACAGTAATCACCTACAAATGCTGTTTACTCAATGTTCACTAGTTTCCTGTCTACAGTCACCCATTCTCCTTTTAACATTGTGTTCTACTCCCAAACCCTGCAGCTACTGTTTTCACCTGACCCCCAATGATCAATGTTCCTCAAACCCAGGAACTTTACTGCAGCCAGTGGTGAGTCATATTTCTTGTGATTTGGGAGGAATGAGAAGAGTATCTATGTACCTTGTCTATACCACTCTTTTTTCCTGAAAAAAATTCCCTTTGTTAACGCTAGCCCAGCTACACGAGTGGGACAGGAACAGTCAGCGTGCTAGCGTACAAAGATGTCAGCATTTTTACTACAACTTGCTCTGAGCCACACTGCTAGGTATCTGGAAGAAGGAGGGCTGCTGGGAGCCTGGACCCTGTATGACGATGGTCTCAACAGGACAATGTGCCTGGGGATCTTTCTAGAGAGACCATTAAGATGATTTCCTTCCTTTGAGACCTCTCTTGTAGGATCTCCCAAAGAAAGGAATGATCTGGGCTAATGCTCTTTCATTCCAAACTTGCCCCAATTTCGTGGTAGTCCTATTAATTATTAATTAAAACAACAATAATCTAAGATACTCACTGCATTCCAAAATGCAGAACCGAAGGATGAAAATGTAAAGCCTTCCCATTAGGTATCTTTGCTGAGAAGCTGAAAAAGAAAAAAAAAATTATGACTACTTTGTTGACATGCTATTTTGAAACTGAGGCAGACTGCTACCTAATATGCACAACATGACATTCGTCTCGTCATTGTGCTAACACTGATGTGCTCTCCTAATTTTACATCTCAGGTACACTGTTCCACAGACTTTCATACATTCCTCTGTAGAGCTGCATTATCCACACTTTTATAAGATTTCTATTGTGTGGAATATACTGGCAATCATGACAAGTGAAATTATGACTATAAACCAGGCTAAAATATTTCTTATGTGCAGAAGAGAATTTGGATTAAATCACAAGGACTGTAACACCATGCTTACATTATCCACAATTATTTCCAATAGCAAATCCTAGGTTTACAGATATTGCTTTAGCATCTCTTCTCCAAAGGTGTATTGAAGAAATAATGGAGTAACATGTGTTTCAGTTGTCAGTTTACTCTTCTCTGCACTCGGGAAGTTGACAAAAAAATTCCCACCAGTTCTTTCATATCTTCAGCTGCAAGTTACAGCCCTAGTGTAGACAAGGATTCCAGGTCTGGACCCATTTTCATCATTGTTTAAACTTTTCAACAATATTAAGCATGGTAGTGAAAACTGGTATGGACCCCAGAGCCTTGTCTACAATAGGTATGCACCCAGTGTTAAATATATTTTAGAAAAGTCCCTTACTGTTGATGCAGCCTTTGACTATGTCTACACTCATGTAGAGTACAAACACTGCACCCGCCCCCAAGCATGGTATAAATAGCAGTGTGGATGGTGCTGCTTAGGCCAATAAAGACATTCAGGAACATATGCCCTAGATAGCTCTCTACATGCTCAAGCAGCGCCTCTCTTTTCTACACCATTATTTTTAACAGTGTAGTATCCCACTGTGGGAAACGTTCCATGCCAGAGTGAAAGACTCCAGCAGTGAGGAAAAGCTCTGGCGGGGAGAGCCAGCCAGGAAGGTTCCAGCAGCTCCCTGTGTTCGGAATGGCAGATGCTTTCACTGTCGCGCTTAGCTACACAGTGCAGTATAGCCACAGCCTGCCTTTCACCGCCGTGTGTAGCTACACATACCCTAAACACTTAGACAAGGCCTTTGTGTCACAGCCAGTGACCAGGTTCAGCCATATAGGGCAAAAGGCAGATACTTCGCAGAGGGTGCAGCTAGAGAAAGAGTAGCATCAATCTGAAGATACCAAATACCTGAAACGGCCCTGGGAATTATGTGATTTTAATTGTTGCAGTTTTGAAACAGGTTGGGATCAAAGATGGAAATTTGCAAATAGTATCATCATCCGAATCAATATTTATTATTTGTATCACAGTAGCACACAAAGTGATTGAGGACTTACTGTGTTACAAGCTGTACAAATAAACAGAAAGACACTCTGTGCCACAAAGCACTATCAGATTTCAAACAAGGTGCCCCAAGTAAGTCACAAACAGTAGTAGGCAAGGAGGTGGAAGGATGGAGTTATTGATAACAATATGACATTGTTACATAGGTTTCTAGGTCCACACCTTCATGGTTCAAGAAGTTTAATATAAATAAATATGAGCTATCCTTGACTGCTATTCAGCCTAAACATCATTAACAGCCTTGAGAAAGAGAGGACAGTGGCCTTTTTAATTAGCTCAGGAAATGGATTTTATGGCATGCGGTAGGACAGTTCATTGCTCACCTAGTTCAAAATGCATACTTGTAATGTTATTCTTGAATAGTCGCATATATTTATGTATTTATTTATTTCGTATTCCAAATTGAAACGAACAAAAATCATCAATATTGGTAGGAAAGAGAAACAACAACATTGTTACAAAAACTCAACTTCAACTCAGTTAAACCAAAAACGACTACTATCATTTTTCTTGGCCCTATCTATTTTTTTAACAGAAGACTGGAAAATGGCACCCACGTTAGGGGGACTTAATGATTTTCTTCAACTGCAAATGTGTTCAAGAATGGACATTTTTTTTGCAACTGAAAAAGATATGATTTCTGCAAACGCATTACACCACCGGTTCTTCTAGTTGTTCTATACTATCATTTCATTTAACAATTATTCAATTATCAAGAGTAGGCAAGGCGCAAGAGTACAACTAAAAAAAGAGAGACTGGAGGAGCAGGGAGAGGTAAATCCATTGCTTTTTCTGATTCTGTTTTTTAATGGGGAAAAAAGCACCATGACAAACCTCTGATGCAATCAATCAGTTTATATCCTGAGGACTACCTGCAAAAAAAAGGAATAGAGCCTTTCTAAATGAAAATATTTAATTCTCCACCATTCCTGGGCATTTTTTAAAATCTTCTGGAAGCCGGCAGAGCACTGATTTCTATTTCTGAGATGAAATACAATTTGGAAAGGCCACATCACCAGTGCCAACACTGCTCCTGGCTGCTCCAGCTGCACTTCTGTCCAGACAGAGAACCCGACTATGGATGCCTCTACCTAGGTACTGGTGTGGATTTGCAGAGACTGTGGCTTGTATTTCCCCATCTCAGAAAACCAGCCTGGGGAGACCATCCAATGTGAGAGGTGTCTACCTGCAGAATCTCTCAGGAAGCACATGGGAGAGCTACAAGAGGAGGTAACTAGGCAGAGGCAAATCTAGGCACATGAGGAATTCATTGAAAATACGCGTATGGAAATCTCCAAAGCTGAGGAAGCAATCCAGCCAGAGAAGACTTCAGTAGCACCACCAGGAAAGGAGGAAATGGCTCCTTCACAGGGAGGGAGCTTGCTGCTTGTTACTTCTGGCAGCTGACAGTGCTCAACGCCTGCTCTCAACCCACCATCCACAGAGATAGGAAAAAAAAAAAAAAAAAGCAGTATGCTGCCCAGGCAAAGAGGGATGAGGAATCTCTCCCGAACCTGGAGAAGGAGAAACCATGTACCCCTAAGGCTCTGAGGATCGTGGCCCCACTTTTAAGAGAAAACAAAGGGTGGTGGTCAGTGACTCCCTTCTAAGGGGGATGCAGGCATCCATCTGCCAGACTAACCTGGCACCCTGGGAAGTGCGCTGCCTGCCAGGGGCCCATATCCAAGACATTATGGAAGGCTTGCCAAGGATCATCCAGCCCTCTGACAACTACCCTATGCTGCTTGTCCATGTGGGCACTAATGATACTGCGAGGTATGACCTTGAGCAGATCAGAAGTGACTATCGGGCTCAGGGTGTGAAGGTGAAGGAGTTGGAGGCACCGGTGGTGTTCTGATCCAGACTTCCAACCAAGGATGGGGCCCGGGTAGAGACAAACAGAACCTGGAGGTGAACCACAGCTACACAGATGATCTCGCCAGGGGCGCTTCCGCTTTTTTAACATGGGATGCTGTTCTGAGAAGGTCTGTTGCGCAGAGACTGGGTCCACCTATCAAGGAAGGAGTATCTTCGGATGCAGACTGAGGAGGGCTTTAAACCAGGTTCGACGGGAGCAGGAGACAAAAGTCCATGGTATGTCCAGAACATGGAGACCTGGGTGAAGGGTCAGAACCTGGGGGGAACACAGGCAAACATAGCAAGGACAAAGGAGGGAATATGGAGGAGAAATCTAATGAACATCTTAGTCCAGTGGTTTTCAACCTTCTTTCTTTTGCAGACCCCTAAAAAATTTCACATGGAAGTATGGATCCTTTTGGAAATTTAACTTGTGGTCCATGGATCCCCATCATAGAAATCTTAGACTGAAAACTGACTGAACAGAATTTAACTATAAATGTTGCACATGTTCAGCGCGGCATTTGATGCAGCATGAAAAAGGGCATTAAACTGTGGGCTTTTATGGTAACAGCAACACTTCTGGCTTTTGACCTGTAGGTGGGGGTATTCACATACTTTTGATTGATCAGAAAAACTGAATGCCTTTTCTGGGATCTGAAACTTTATTTTCATAGTCACCTTTTGCAGACTCAGACATACTCTGCGGGGTCTGTGGACCACAGTTTGAAAATTAGATCTCTTAGATATCTGTATGCTAATGCAAAAAGTATGGAGAATAAACAGGAAGAACTAGAAATACTAGTGAGTAATCACAATTATGACATAATTGACATCATAAAGACTTGGTGGGATAATTCACATGATTGGAATATTGGTACAGAACAGTACAGCTTGTTCAGGATGAGTAGGGAGGGGAAAAAGGAGGCGGTGTTTTGTGTATCAAAGATGTATACTCTTGCACGGAGGTCAAAATGGAAGTGGGGGGCAGATGTGTTGAAAGTCTCTGGATAAGGATAAAAGGGGTAAAAAAAAAAAAACACCAACCACCAAAAAACCCCCCACGGGTGATGTCACTGTAGATGTCCGCTATAGACCACTTAGACCAGGAAGAAGAGGTGGATGAAGCTTTTTTTAAACAATTAACAAAATTATCCAAAGCACAAGACTTGGTGGTGATGAGGGGGACTTCAATTACTCAGACATCTGCTGGGAAAAATCATACAGCAGGGCACAGATTATCCAACAAGTTCTTGGAATGCATTGAAGACAACTTTTTATTACAAAGTTGGAGACAGCAACTATTAGCAACAGGCTATTCTAGATTTGATTCTGACAAATAAGGACAAACTAGTTGATAATTGAAAGGCAGCTGGGTTGAAACTGCTCATGAAATGTCAGAGTTCATGATTCTAAGGAATGGTAGGAAGGAAAATAGCAAAATAAATATAATGGACTTCAAGAAGGCAGAATTTAGCATACAGCGTATAAGCAGGTACGATCCTGTGGGAAGCAAGTCTAAGGGAAAAAAGAACTCAGGAGAGCTGACAGGTTTTTAAAGAGGTATTAAGTGCACAAGAGCAAACTACCCCAAAATGTAGAAAAAATAGGAACTATGGTAAGAGACCACCTCTTGGCTTAACCAGGAGATTTTCAATTACCTGAAACTCAAAATAGAGATACACAAAAAATGGAAACTAGGTCAAATTACAGAGGACAAATGTAAAAAAAAAAAAAAAAAACAAGCACGGAGAGAAAAAATTATAAAGGCCAAGGCACA